TTCAGGCTTGAACCTCTAATGCCATAACGGTGTACATAAACCAGTAAGTTCAAACTCTAGACTAAAACGGCATTTACATTAGAACTTTTTACCGGGTTTTTACCGGGTTGTAAACGAATTGACAATTGAAACCCACTGGGTTAACGAAATCCGGTTAAATGTAAACATACTTTAACAACAGAAAATATCCGAACGGTTGCTATCAGCTAACATCCAAAATAATGAAATCCATAAGAGTGTAATCATACTAATTTATTCTAAAATGTCCAAAGTCGAAGTTTGGACTACCAGCCATCATCTCAAAAATTGATAAAATAGCTGAATATAAATGTACAATACCATGTACAGTACATTGTAAGTACAATAAGTGAATACTTCAAATTAAGGGGACCCCCTATTTTCGATTTTAAATTTTAACGATATTAATCCGGCTGGCAAATGAATGTGCTTTAATATTGAAGGCTTGGAGATGGTGATGAATAATAAAAAAATCTTACCAATTCCAACTCCGCATATCTGAATGGATTTAATTCTGTCGGGAAATTTTGAGTTGGTAACTAAATTATAGAGAAATGTATAATCAAACGATTGTTTATCACAGTTGATCGTTAATATCAATTGACGATTTTCTGACAATAATTCAAGACAAATGTTGAGTAAAACGTTTAATAAGCCTTTGGTAATATTTAAATGTATCAAATTCGTTGATAAGCCGACAGAGGACATTATGTTTGTTATTCTATCCGCAAATCCTTCCAGTGATAATGTTTTTAAACTTGAATGTTGTACAAGTTGTGTGAAATTATCAAGTTCTTGGCATTTGGTAAGTTTTAAGCTGTGTAGATCTTTGAGTTGTAGTGCATCTTGAATATCTATAGCATTTTCAGTTAACGTCAACATTTCTAAATTTGGCATATCCAATGCCACATTTGGAATCTTTTCATAGCAATTGTGCCATTGTAATATTTTCATGTTGGGAAAACTTTGGGAGAATGCATTTACAAAATGACTGGCATCCAAATCCAGTTCCATATGTTGCAGCGATTTTGAATATATTTGTTGGCGAATATTTCCGGAATACTTTGTTCTGAGTGTTATAAATTTATGCAAATTCATTTTATTAAGTATTGTCTCCAAGTGTGTTGCAGATAATCCCTTGCAGTCCCTTAGAATTAATTCCTGAAGATTTTCTGATATTAAAACATCATTTATACTGTAGTTATTTAACGATAATCTATGTAGTCCGGGGCAAAGTGAGTAGATCAATTGAAAGAAATCACAGTTTATAATAACGGTAGATGGAAATGGCCAACCATTAAGACTGAGATCTACTAGATTTAGCAATTGGCTTGAAAACGTTTTCATAAATTTGCAAAAATCTTCATATTTTACAAAGTACCCAATATCCAGTTTCTTCAATTGTCCCATTGAGTTTGTATTTTCTTCTGCTTCCTGCTCATTCTTCTCCTCCAGGTATGTAGAACTTGAAACATTGTCCTTTCGAAAATCATTACATTTATATCCATCACTATCCGTATAAATGGCAACATTCAAATGTAAATCGTCAACGTGTATGTTTCGTATAATATCCCGTATATGACGATAATTATACAAATGCATGTCGATAGTATATAAAACTGGACTTTTTATGGTAAGCATTTTTATATTTTGAAATTCTGTAATAGTTTTTACGTTAATATCGTGTCCAATAATCAAGGTTTGTAACTTGGAATTTACACAATTTTCCAGTGATAGTACCTCTAAGTAAGGACAGTTTTTACAAACGATACGCATATCATAATTCGTTAGTACAACTCCAATCAAAGTGAGTGAGGTTAATGCCTTTACATGTTTCAATTCACTGTGACATTCCAAGAAATCCGAATTTTGATTTGGACCGAGTTTACAGCTCAACACCAAATATTTAATATTGTTAGTATTCAGTGACAAAAACTCCTCCAAATCATGTGCACTTAAAATTTGTTTCCTTTCGATTGTATGTTCATGGGACAATGTTGCTATTAGACTTATGTGGCGCTTTTTTATAATTTTCACATGACGATATTTCTGTTTCCATACGAAATTAATTATTATATTTTTAAAGTGTTTGCACACACGTGTCAGATTCAGTTGATCTCGGTATTCCAAATATGTTAATATTTGTTTTGCTATGTCAATATTTTCCATTAAACATTCCAAATGCCTGGCGACCATTCTAATTCAGTTTAATACTTTCGTTTTTAATGGTTAAGCTTTTACGATAGCACTGAACGCTGGTTATGCAGGTTATTGAAATCAACAATGAAAGCAGCATTAAGCAAAAACACAACAAAAACAAGTGAAACATTGTGGGTTAGCGGCAGAATTACCGGTATCAAGGTCAATAATACTGAACATTATACAGCGGGGTAAATATAATGTAGGTGTCTTCAAATTTCAATAACTACTATTTAAAATATGATTGGACAAATATATAGTATAGTCTAGTAATTATCAATAAATTAATTTTATTAAAAAAAGTTGTTAATGAGTTAATATCTCGTTAATGTGTTAATATCTTGATATTTACAATCAGCTTTATTCTGGACATCAATTCACCGTGATTTTGTTCGTTCTTAATTTTAATGTTCTTCTGAAACAGAACTCACATCGACTTTTTTTTCGAATTTTTACTTTCCCCTTTTTTTGAATCAAGTTCGAACGCGAAAAAAATGCTTTGGGGAAAATGAGGTATTCTGGATTATAGAACGTGGGAGGATGTACTGACATTTTGTGCGAAACTTTTCGCTAATAAATTTAAAGGGAGCTGTCTACAAAAATATAATTATTAAATATTTTTATGAAAAACATATACACAATACTTCTTCTATGGCGATTTTGTATATTATAGATGGTTGTATGCATATTTTAAATCAAAACCAACAAATAAAATGTCATTGGAAATCCTACTGGTAACGACGCATGCTCTACCAAATATTGCCACGGAATGTATTTGGAATTTGCAATTTGGAGGCGAAATAAAGACATTTTGTGAGCCGAATCTGTCTCTCCAGAAAAAATATTTAAAACTATGATGAGCCGCTTAACAGTGAAAAACTCTAATAAAAATTATGAAACAACAATAATAAAGCTTCAAAAATATGTTTTCTTTCAAATTTATCGTGTGCAAGATTTGGAAGACGAAATAAAAGAGTTGGAGCATATTATAAAATAATTGGCCACATTAAGAATTTGGGGAAATAATATATCGAAATTAAATAAAAGGCGCACAAGTATGTAGTGAAATAATAAACTGCGAATTAATTTGATTCAATCGTAGATTTCTTCCCATTATTCTTCCCATTAGTAGTGTCTTTGACATCGTTCAATGCGGTTTTTGAAAAATGAAATGTTCTTTTGTTTATGCGTAGACAAAGTCTAAAAAATCTTAAAAAAGAGTTCAGCTTCACTAAGCTGATATTTATGACTTGATAGGTTATCCCTAATTAAACACGTCATAGTTAAGCCAAGGATTACCGAATGGATTCTTGATATTAAATTAAATTATAACAACACACTCTACAAATTAAATTACATTATGGCTACACGAATCATTTTTAAACCACCATTTTCGAAAATTCGAATCTGCATCTCGTATTTTTAGCTTCTCCCTATTCATTCAGAATAATGTGAAAGCGAACAATTTTCACAAGCGAGATCTTAGTGAATATCCAGAATAAGGTTGTATATAAAGTATTTATGTCTTGAGTCATAATTACATAAGACTTACTTACTTAGCCGGCTTGTTACAGAACGGCTGTTCCATAAGCCGAGCTTAAAAAAGATTTCCAAGCGCGTCGGTCTTTTGCTCATTTCCGCAAATTTGAAAGACCACGTTCAAAGATGTTGTTTTCTACTTGGTCTTTCCATCTGATTCGTGGCCTTCCCCTTCTACGGGAACCATCAGTAGGCTCGCTTTTATATGCCTTTTGAGCTGGGGCATTCCCATTCATTCGCTCAACATACCCTAGCCATCGTAGTCGCTGCAGCTCAATACGACTGACTATGTCGATTCCGCGATCCATGCGAGAAATCAATTGATCAATTTGATTTCTCGTTGCTTGATCAGGAGAAATCCAGGTGACCTTGTGTATATCGAGATGCTTGAATCTGGTGCTGTTAACTACCATGTTTTTTGCTGCCGCAAAGTCAATCAATCTCATGCCGTTGTCAATTGTTTCTTCATGAAGGCTGAATTTTCCGACGGTGGAGCCAAAGATATTCTCCCTTCCCTTCCCCCTTCCATAGGCGCAAATAAGACTGATGTAGAAGAACTTTGAAGAACTTCAATACATTGCCCTCTATCTGGAACTTGCCTAAAATATATAAGGAATTAGGAATGAAACTTTGCATTACTTACGAATTTTCTTCCAATTTCTGTATTTTTTTGTACAACTTAACTCCAAATTGAACTTTGCAAATTAAAAAAATGTTTAGAAAAATTTTTTGTGTTTGGTCATAAAACAGCTGATCCATTTGGTATTGAGTGACATCACATTTTCCAGACAGTGGCGGTTAAAATGTTATTCTTAATATAATACATTTTCTTTTTATTTCATTCTCTTATTTCAACATAGTTTTCTAAACCACCCTGCTGTACCCCTGTTAGAAATTAGATCTTGCGGGTTTTTATGTCAACTGAGAAATCCTTCTGTATGCGAAAATGGATTCTTGTCTCTGCGAGCGTCTCGACGCAACTGTTTCCTCTACCTCTTTCGAGGTTGGTTACGGGGTTTAACCCGCAAACAAACTCATCGAAGCTGTGAATGTAATTCAATGTCATAATAATAAATAGTTGTAAACTTGTTTAAATCAGTGCTTATCTATTACGATTTATTAACATTGAAAACATAAATATAAATGTCACATTAACATATTTTTTTTGTTAATACATATATCATAACACATCCATTACTATCACGTTTTCGCCAATCAATCAAATTCATCATATTAAATCCATCTTAATTAGGAATTGGACTACTAGACGTAAATATTGCAGTTGAAGTAGGTGTTAATAAGGTTGTTAACGAAGTGGAATAGTCATTGCCAGTTTCTGAAGAGTTTTCGGTTCCGTCTGACAATTGCGATGGATCATTGGTGTTATGACTGCCCGCTGCATCCTTTGCTTGTTGTGCAGCCAAATTAAATTGTATTAATATTATCAAATAGCTGGTAATGCCACCGGCAACCTGAAACGAATATATAGAATTGGTATTATTTGAGCTATTATACATATTTATATTTGTGTGTATTTCGTACCCCATACAACGTTTCCATATCCAATGAAAAGAATCCGCAGGCTGTAAAATCTACCGAATGATTGAGAAGTTTCAGCGATAAATGATTGATCTATAAATATATTGAAAAAGTAACATACATTTCGTAGCTTCAATTTTTTTCTCAGACTATTATAATTAATGATGCTATCGCCACAGAAATTTACATAAATATAAATCTTAAATCTTTTACATAAATATAAATTAGGTCGCTTTAAATACATTTTTCTAGTGATGTAGAGTACACCCGGTGTGTTCTGGTTCCACCGTATTCTAAGAAGAACGTATAATCTAAAGAATTACTCACAATTTCATATAGATTATTATCATCGGCCACTACTCCACATTTGTGTAAACATATTCCGGTATGTTTCGATTCCAATGAAGTTCTCCAACTCAAATAGATTATATAGACACATTTCCCAGCTGTATACAGGAGAAATGTCGCTGTGATTAAAGCATTTTTTGCCGAAAGAAATAACGATGGAATGGGCTAAAAAAAAATAAAAATATCAAATTTTATCAATTCAAAATAAAACCACATCCACTATTCACCTGATCCTGTGTAGCGCAATAAAGAAAATATAGTTGTGCCGTAAATATTAAAAATCCATATGCCATCAATACCAAAATTGAATAACTCCACAATTCATTTAATTTTTTACCAATTTCACAGATCTCATCGTGCAGTTGACAAAAGTCGTTGAGCTTCTCCTCGACCCGGCTCACATTACACAGTTCACTCTCGTAATGGATGTTAATGGCCGATTTATTGGGTTGTTTTTTAACGGATTGAAATTGATTGAAGTTATTCATTGAGTTAGCAACTGTTATTACAGGTTTAATACGATTTTTACCAAACTTATTTGCAAGGCCACTACCACTTAGTTCGTTGCGTAAGTAATTCAATTTCAAAATGTCTTCCTGGGCAATATCAAACAGTAGATCATTAATAATGTTTTTATTCTTTTCCATATTGCTACTGCCACTTCTGCTTCTGTGTGCCATCATTGCTTTATATCTTTCATGATCCTCGACCATATCCTCTAGGGCTCGATTAATTACCGCAAAACGTTGTTGCAATGCATACAGTGTGGTAGCAAACCATATTTTATCCAATGAATTGTACAGAGTTGGTAAACACGAAAATATCCACAGTAAAGAACTCAATTTGCTGTGATCGAGTAACACAACATAGGCCGCAATCATAATTGTAATTTCACACACAAAAGTCAGTACGATCATGATGCGTATTCGTATCTCTAAAACGGAATTATTCACCACACACCCAACTCTAAAGAGACGTTCGTCGACTTTCCGTATACGATCGTAGATTTCACCTAAATGTTTTTGATTTCGTATTGCGCTCAGTTGATCCGTTACCATCATTACCAGACCGATATAGGTTAGAAATATTCCAATGACAAATGTCAGAGTACCTGGAAAACAATGAAGTTATCATTCAAGGTTTTATTGAATACAATTCGTAGTCCTAGGACTACGAATCGTAGTCCTAGTTTATCTTCTTATAATCCAATAAAATAGAATAAATTAACTTAAATATGGTTGAAATCTGTTCAGATACAAAAAAGTCTTCCATACATAATTTCGTACCATAAACTTTAAAATACCAGAAATGGCGCGGAATCTTAATATGTATCGAAAAATGTACGCAAGTTAGTTTTTTATCTTTCAAGAACCCGGAATATCAAATGCCAACAAAGCGATTTAAATAAACATTCATTTGCTTTTTTATATCGATACTGTATATCAGCAGTGCCCAAAATAGGTCCCATGGGCTGTCGGTGTATGTCAAATTGCTCACACATACAATTATAAAAGAGAAACATTTGAAAATAAAAAAAAATATTTTCAAAATTTTCATTCATTTCTTATTGTTTTAATACACTACACCGAAAAAATGGGGATATTTTTGGCAAACATTAGTTCGGAACAAGTCGAAATATGTGGCCGGGAGGGCAAAACAGAAACAAATATATATTTATATGGGAAAATGTATCATCAACAGCTATATTTGCATTGAATATAAAGTAGATTTCTTCCCTAAAATTTGAAAATAATATTTTTACAAAATTTCTCACAGTATATGACATAGAAACAAAAATTTTGAAATTTTTGTATTTCAAACAAATACAATCACAAAACTTGAATGTATTAGTGTGGACAGCCCTGCTGTATATACATAAATATATATGTATGTGGCCAAAACTAAAGCAACTTAAATTGCAAACTGAATAAATGGCCTGCAACTTTTTTGAAAATAAAGTTATACTGCCTTATTCTGGATGTCAATTCTATGTGAATTTACTCGCTCTTCCATTTCGGCTTATTCTGAACAACATTTTCCTGCCTTCCGCCTTATTCTGAATGAAGTTCGAAAGCGAAAAAATCCGCTTTGGGGAAAAATTAGGTATTTTGGATGAAATTTTGTACGACATTTTTCGTTAATAAATTCAAAGGGAGGTGACTACAAAAACATAAGTAATAAATATTTTTATGAAAAATATTTACACAACACTTGTTCTATGACGATTTAGAATATTATAAATGATAGTAAGTAAATTTTTAACTGGAAAACAACAAATAAAATGCCATGGGAAATCCTATTGATAACAAAGCTGAACCACATATTGCCAAGTGAGGATCTGTCTCTCAAGCAAAAATTTAAAAAATCATTAAAAAAAAACAAATTTGACTGATGAGCCGCAGTGAAAAAATTATTAAAGAACAAAAATAAAGCTACAATTTTTTTTTTTCAAAATTATGCATGATTTGAAGGAAGAAATAAAGGAGTAGGAGCAAATCATAACATAACTGGCCACTTTAAGAATTTAGTGAAATAATAAACTGTGAATGAATTAATTCATTCGCAGATTTCTTCCCATTATTCGTTGTTTTTTTGTCATCATAAAAAATGTTCTTTTATTTGTAATCTATTGTAGTTGTTGCACCAAATTGCATCAAAACAATGAACAGCTGTTTCACAATCCATATTGTAGATTGCCATATTTTCAAACTTTAATTCATTTTCTTTTAATTACAAAGCATATATACAGCGGATTATTGATATTTCACATTTGTATTGTTATAATGTTTAAATAACAATAAAAAGTAAATATTTTTAATAAAAAAATCAATAAATAAAATATTGAAAATATTACAACATTAAATTCCAATAGGGAGACACAATGCAAAAAAAATTGGCAACACACATTACAACATATGGCAACACGAATCTTTTTTTCAACCACCATTTTCGAAAACTCGAATCCGCATCTCTCATTTTTTTGCGTCTCCCTATTCATTCAGAATAAGGCGAGAATGTGAAAGCGAAAATGTTTTTACATGCGAGATATCTCCCAACGAATATCCAGAATAAGGCTGATAGTGAAAGTTTTTTTTTAGAAATAGGTAATTAATTCACTTAAAAAAAAAAACAAAAAATTATAAATGCAAAATTTATTTTTTAATAAAAACTAAAGCAACTTTTTGTTTTTTTGTTGCTAATAATCGACAGCATACGCATTATTTGTCATTACGCCAGCACACATTCGCATCCTGAACAATTGGGAAGAGGTTATGTCTTTGTTTGTAGGTTAGGTTTGGGGATGTGCAGCATACGCATTATATATATAATTATATTATATAAAAAAGGTAAGATTGGAATAAGGTCGATGGCTATAGGAATCAGACAGAAGATGTGTTACGTGTCACTTTAGGTTTATAATTATGCTGTAGATTAGAGCAGGTTCGGTTGTTGAGAAGAAGCTGAGACTCGGCAAAAAATGGGCACCCACTAGTCTGTGCCGCCTGATATTGCAGTGACCAGTAATGATTCCTATCATCACTCTTATTTCAGCTTTGCTCAGGTTCAATAGTGAGTGCGTTCTTCTGTTTGTTTGTAAAATTCTTTTGATTTTGCTATCTATGAGACTCCAAAGATTTATCTATAGGGTAAAGATCTGATGATTGTGTTGGCCTGTTTTTTTTTACTCCCGCAAGCAATCTTTGAAATGTTTTGGTGTATGTTTGGTGGTAATTGTCAAGCTGAAACACCAAAACAAGCGTTATATTTTCTTCAGCGAAGGGAACCATAGTGTTTTTCTACACATTTCTATAGTTAATTTGATCCATTACTTTATAAACCTCTGATGATTGTGTTGGCCATAATAAAACCCTGTTTTTTACTCTCGCAAGCAATCTTTGAAATGTTTTGGTACATGTTTGGTGGTAATTGTCAAGCTGAAAACCCCAAACAAGCGTTATATTTTCTTCAGCTAAGGGAACCATAGCGTTTTCCAATATATTTCTATAGTTAATTCGATCCATTACATTATAAACCTCGTAAATATATCGAAAAACAACCCAATATAATTATCAATACTGTGGCGTGAGAGCTAGATTGACAGTTCTCCGCTGAGATCTTACTGAATGTTATTGGGTAAATTTCTTCTAGTAAGATTTATCCAGCACAATTTTATGTATTTCAATCAGCTGTTAATTTTAAATTTTTGACCAATGTCAAAACCATTTTTAATTTTATTCCTAAATAAGTCTAAATATTAAATTTCAAGCATTTTTACTAAAATGTTGTCTGTTTACTTTTCTCAGTATTATCCAGAAGAGAATAAAAACGGCCTACTCTCTGAAATAGAACTTACTGGAAAAGTAACCAGAAACATTTATGATCTGTTCCCGTACTGCAAGAATAATGAAATCGAAGAAATAGTTAAATCTAGAAAATTGTTGCAGTACGGGAACAGACCTCTAATTTGTTGATATGCACGAACTTATGTTATTTTGCAGTCTCCCTCCGTGCTGAACTGTCACTATTGATATAGACGGCCGTATTACCCAAATACGTCGAATTAATATCTCTTAGCGAACTAAACAAAATTATAAAATGTTCACATTCTTATTGAAAATGTTGTATTTTCTTCATATTATCAACAAAAGAAAAAAAACATTCATATAAGTCCCAATTTAGATTAGGCGAGTTTACTTGCGGCAAGGGGAATATAAATTGAAAATAAAATTGTTCGTTATTAAATCTTTATGTTTTTTGTTTGGCTTTTCTGGTCAGATAATTTTTATAAAAATAAAACGATTTTTATTTCATATTTTGCTCGACGTTTTGTTGGCTTTTTTCCAACATTTTCAAGAGCTGATTTATTGATCTATTGACAAACCAAAAATGAAGATGTAATTTCTTTCATTACATTTTAAATATTGCACTTATTTTTAACTTACATTAATTATTTGTCATTTTTCTATTATTTACTTAGATTAAAAAGCGGGACTCCAACAACATTTATATAATAAAAATAAATAATAAAATAAATAATAAAAATAAATAATACAATAAATAATAAAAATAAATAATACAATAAATAATAAATAAATCACAGTTAAAAATTAGGTATATCACAGAACTGGTGTTAGCTAATTGCAATGGAGTACTGAAGCTTAGTACCGGCAATTTTCTGGCAATTTGTTTTGTTTATTTTGTTTGTAGTGTCAGTAATTTGAAATACCAATCCAGAACATTGTCACAATGTATGCCTTGTATGGACGCATGAAGCAAGTCCAAAAGAGAACGACAAGAATTGCCGCAAGTAAACTCGGCTAATCTAAATCAGGACTAAATACATGTTTTTTTTCTTTTGTGGTGAGTAACGTCGAACGAGCTAGTCGAAATTTATAAAATCCTTTGAAAAATTATGTATAAAAATTGAAAAAGCTGTAAAAATAACTAATATTTTTGAGAGCTCATTTCTATTTCCTGTAGTTTTGTCCTAACGAAAATTGAGGCAATTCCCTTATCCCTTTGAGGGTCGTACCTAAATTCATGCGTATGCGTTACTCACTTCAAAAGTTAAATACATGTATTTCAATGAATGTTAACCAAATACGCATTGCGTATAAAAAAATAAAGTTGAAAATTTTTAACATTGACAATGCGTATTTTAAATTTTTTGTTTTTTGAAAATTGAGTTTCAGTCATTGAAAATTTTGTGATTCTATAAAAGTAAACATTTTTCTATCAATTAAAAAAATGTTTTCATCCATTTTCGCCGTTTTCAATTGGCACAGTCCTTGCGTATTTGGGTAATATGGACGTCTAACAAACCCTATAAAGGTGAGAAGGTGAGTATTTTCGTACGGAGCGCAATAAATTAGGTACGACCTACCAACTGATTACAATTTTTTCTCAAAGTGGCTTGTTCCATCAAATCAAAATACATATTTTGTGTATGTGTGTATTGTTTGTCAAATAAATTGAAATATATTCAAATTTAATTGAAATGAAAATGATGTTATTAACACGTTCGCCTAGAAGTATTTACTTTGATAGTCCTGATTTATATTAGGCGAGTTTACTTGCGGCAATTATTATCGTTCCCTTTTGAACTTGCTTCATGCGTCTATACAAGGCAATTCGGTTTCGAAAATATTTCTTTTTTCATTTGATGTCAATAGTTTTTTCACATTTAAATAAATATAAAATGTCAACAAATACGAAATACACAAAACAAATTGCCAGAAATTGTCGGTACGAGCAATTTTTTCCATTTCTATTTCCCTTGCCCCTCTCTCCTACAGTCAAAGACTTGCCGCATGTAAGCTCGCCTAATCTAAATTGGGACTTATGGATGAAACAAACATTTTATGGTATTCTCTACAGGATTTTGGGAAGAAATCATAACCTTTCATTTATTTTTCGCGTTTTTAGTTTTGTGTTGAAAAAATGTCAAATAAACATAAACACTTGTTGCGAATATTTATTTTATTTTTGGCAGAAGAAGTCACACGTGCATAGTTACTTTTTTGTTATTCACCTCAAGCTGCCCTACCTTGTATTATTGTACCATGGTACGACCCTCAAAATTTATTTCAAAATGAATTTTGTATCAAAATGAATTCTTAGTACCTTTACGTTTCAATACTATGCGAAGTTAATACTATAGAGAGTGCGGACTTCCTAGACATTATAAGAGATTCCACTATTGGACTCACATTTAATATGGGTTAAAATACTATGAAGAATTTTAATTATTTATTCTAAATTTGGTTATTGATTTATCATGTTCACATTTTCATAGATTGGCCAACGTATATTTCCTTCACTATTATAAAAAAGTAGTTTGGCGTTTTGTATGTCTTCTATATAATATATTACATTATAACTTAATAAATGTTATAAAACATTCAGTCCAGGACAAATTAAAAACACATCATCACTTGTTGAATGATTTTCCACATACATACTTTGTGATGCCTTAAGTGTGCTATCCTCTTCAGAAAATGAAAATATTAACAAATTGTACAGCACAATAATCACGAGCATTACAAACACCACAAACAATGCGCCACTATTGGATTTTTTCAATTCATGATGACGTTGAAATAATTTCCAATTTTGAGGATAAATCCCCAATATTTTGCAAAGCAAAAACAACTCCGAAAATTGTAAAAGTATTGTTTGGACCGTTTGTTGTTGCGACATGTTTGTTCAATTCCGTTATTCACGACACACTAACTACCAATTGGGGAATAGAATTGTCCATCTTTTAATATGGTAAAATGGATATACGATACGTATGTATATAATGAATAATGAGTACATTACATGCTTGCCGTTAACAACTGCACTTCATTTAATTAAAATTGACATATTGTCCTTTCCCTCTCCCTGCCGCTTATCAAAAATGAATAAATCTACTAACCGATTTTTATCGACAAACAAATGTAAGGATATTTATTACATTGACACTCATGATTCGTTAATAATATTTTGATAGTGGCGCAATTGTCATTTATGTGTGGATGTGTATTTTGTAATTAAACAATTTTGACACAGTAAAGCGTACAACATTGTTTTTAATAAGATCTAAAATCTTTATGCGTTATTTGTATGTAGTAAAAAAAAAAACTATTTACTCAGTCCGTTGACAAAGGACAAGGGGTGCATTATAGTGGCCTTTTTATGGTATGCCATAAACAAATACATATACCGCCTTATTCTGGACATCAATTCACCGTGAATTTGTTCTCTCTTCCCTTTAACCCTTTGAGCCCCGAATTTTTTTCCGCAATCTTAGAACAAATTTCTGTTCACAGATTTAATGCAACTATCCTAAATAGGATATGCACAAAATTTGACATCGATATATCCTTGCATTCAGGAGATACAGTACATTCTTTCAGAAAAATTAAAGTCCAATATCAAGAAAACCAGATGCAAAATCGTCAGAAAAATCATTTTATATTATTCTCTATATTCAATTTTACAAGAATCAAAAATAATTCTGAGGGTACAATTTTAATACGAAGCGATTTAAATAATTTGGACTGTATACACAAAATAGTACTGTACACAAATTTACCCTCTTCTCTATATTGAAAAGCTCATAACTTTACCAAAATTTTGAATTTTTTTGATTTTTCTTTTGATATGTGTCGTCCATAATCAGGTCTTGACATATGAAATGCAAATGATACATATCTACTAGCTGCATATAAAATATAAGCTCTAAAACATTTTGTTGCCTGTGGACAACATTGGGCCACAAAGGGTTAATGACATTGTGAACCAGAATTTGCAATCAATTTTTTCGCATTTCGAAAGCGAAAATATCCGGTTTGGGGACAAATTTGTTATTCTGGATTGCAGGGAGTGGGAGAATGTGATTACATTTTTTGCGACATTTTTCGCTAATAAATTTAATGTGAGCTGACTACAAAAATATAAGTATTAAATATTTTTATGAAAAATGTTTAATACATATATTTGGTCACTTTAGGAATTTGGAGAGATAACATATCGAAATTAAATAAAAAGACACAGATTTATGTAGAGAAATAATAAACTGCGAATTAATTTAATTCAATCGCACAATTCTTCCCATTATTCGCTGTGTCTTTGACAGCGTTCAATGCGGTTTTTGGTATCATCAAAAATGTTATTTTATTTGTAATCCGTTGTAGTTGTTGCAGCAAAACAATAAACAGCTGTTTCACATGCCGTTGTACGTTGTCATATTTTTAAACATTAATTTTTTTTCTTTTAATTTCATATTTATATTTGGTCTGTTCCCGTACTGCAATCTACTAGTTTTTACCATTTTTGCCGATATCATAAAGGAAAATTTGTTATCGTAGTAAAAAGTAGTAGATTCTTGCAGTAAGTGAACAGACCAATTGTTATAAAGTTAAAATAACAATATGGGAACACGAAACTTTTTTCAACCACCATTTTCGAAAATTCAAATCCGCATCTCGCATTTTTTGCTTCTCCCAATTCATTCAGAATAAAGAGAGAATGTGAAAGCGAATATTTTTTTCACAAGCGATCTCGCTCTCCCAGAATATCCAGAATAAGGCTGTATGTAAATTATGTATGTCTTGAGTCATATTTACCTGATACCATATTGTAATATTTCCGCTCGAATTGTATATATCTGCTAACACAAATCTAATCTTGTGAATAACTCTAAAGTTAATCGACCGATTAAGTCAGGCGTCTAAATTAAATCAATAGTAACCCATTTGTTAGATATAATTTTTTTTAATTGATGTGGATAGATCCATAGAATACTATGGTTCGTACCACATGTTAAAGTTATAAAATTTCACTTTTAAATCTGCCTACTTCCCACAAAAATGGTCCAAATCGGAAATATTCGACTATTTGCAATTGGCAATAAAAATAAAAATTTCAGGTACTTAAAAATAGTTTATATTTTGGCTATAATAGTTTCGAACGAACTTTATAAACACAATTTGGTATTGAGTGACATCAACTTTTCCATTAATTAATGCATTTATTTTTTAATTCATCGCTTTTATTAATATATTGCATTCATTTAGTGTGACAGAATATCATATTTCATTTTTTCTTCAGGTTATTGGGGTTTATTTCATAACCGTATTTTCATTATAGCCCATACACTGTCAATTGGATTGTATTGAGACCGCTGGACTTTATATGGACCAATTGGTCTGTATAGAACCCGTTTGAAAATGTCTGTAAAAATGTAAATGTTCAACATTGACAAAACGTATTTTGAAGAAAAAAAAACATACAAATTTTCGTACACTAATAGATTTTTTTATTTTAACGAAAATGAATGACTATACTAAATGTCATTATGCCAAAAATGCAATGACAAAGTTCTTAAATTTAGATTTCCAGATGAGTCCAATAACAACAACGAAAAAACTTCAGGCTACAATTATCGCATGTATGTAGGGTGATGAACATTACCAAACAGTCTACGCAAAGAGAACAGTCTCTTTTTGAGATTTTTTTATTAACGACGTTTGCGCTCATTTTCACGTCTGCGTTCCTCCTGAAATAAGAAATTAAAATATATATTACGCATTTTTCAAAATTGCAACGCATTTCACTTATATTTAATGAGTATGTAAGAGTACTAATCGTAAAAGTATTATTACAGTATTTATATTCAGGCACGAATATAAATGAATTAACGATTAACCACTATTTTTCTTCAGTGTGCGCAAAAATTCGCTCGCGAATAAAATAAAATACATTCTTTTCGTTTTGTGTTCATTTTAGGAATGAATTTATGGCGATAAATTTTTTACCAAACGAGCATTCGCCAAAGAATGTTCGCACACACATAGCAAACGAGTGAGAGCACACAACAACGATCGTTCGTTTCGCTTGGTGGTTGAAATTCTTTCTGACATTCTCTCACGAATGAAAACAAACTTTCCCGAATTCTCGTGAATGCTCAAAACAGCAACAACAAACGTTCGTAAACTTAATAGTTGCTGGACATGTGTTTTGTTATTCCACACACTTTCTGCTACTCACACTACACTACTACTTTTTTATGATATTTTTGTGGTTGTTTTTAACAGTGCTCGCGAACATTTGTTTTTTTTTTTTTTTTTTTTTTGAGTTTTTCAAAAGAATATTCTTCAGCAACAAAAGCTCGCGAACGAACGAATCGACGACGCTTGCAGCGAAATGTTATCGTTCGTGAATTTTTCGTACAATGCGAACATTCTCGAGAGAATGCAAATGCTTGTGCATTCATTGTAACTTTATCTCTCGCGATAAATTGAAAAACATTCGAATTCTCGCCGTGAGCATTCGTTAGAAAGAGTGTATTTTAATCATTCTCCGCACCTTGTTTTTTTTTCCTCTAATTTACACCAACTTTGTAATGATTTTTTATTACTATTTGGTAATTTTTTTTTATACATACCTTTTGTGTCAGAATAATCAACAAGCGTCTGAACATGCTCAAAACGTCGAAGAACAGATCCAATGCATGTTGGACAACATCTCGATTGCCATAGCGAACCTTCTCAACGATATTTTGGGTGTCGAAAAGAATAAACGCGGCCATAACAATAACACCAACGTATAGCTGAGCCTATTAAAAAAGGCAACAAGTATTAGACAAAGTAGACATACAAAATTATTTCAAAATCACATACCATTTGTACAAACATTGATTTGAAGAAAATATTTAGAATGCTCAAAAGTGTCATGCTATTGATTACACTAATCAAAATACCACCCAAAAACAAATATTGACCACGTCCAGCCAAAAGTGCTGCTATGGACAACGATGCGAATGTTATAAATGTTCCCACCAATGCAGTAACAATAATCGATGGATCCACACTGACAACATAACTTAAAAGGGGTCCTAGAGTTTGTCCCGAACAGAAACCAAATCCATACAGCATAGCAACACGTGTATAGTAATTTTTGCCATTATCACGATAGAAGTGTAAACCCAAAACTAAGAACAAGGTACCCAATGCCGCAAGTATGCCCAAATCAATATAGTGTTTCATTTGTAGCATAGAACCAATGGCGGTCACAGCAGATGTTCCACCCAACATCATGTAAACTTTGGCAAGATGTTGTTGGACATATGGTTCGCTGGAAATAAAGAAAAAAATGGGAAACTATTAAAATCATATATAAATAATATTTAATAAATATAAAAAATATAAAGATGTGTGTTATTAGGTTTGCAAGATTTATTCTCATTAAATCGCAGTGGTACCCAGCATTGTATATAGTTATTACTTAGTGTTTCCAAAGCTGTTCGACACTCAAGGACGTCCTTATTTCCCATAAAATTTCCGTGTCCTGGTACCCAGCATAGTCTATAGCTGTTAGTTAGTGTTTCCAAAGCTGTTCTACACTCAAGGACGCTCTCAAACTTGATGGATTTAAGAGCTGCCTTACAAATTGCGAAGATTTCAGCCTATAATACACTACAGTCGCTCTCTAACCTGTAAGTGTACTCAAGAATTAGCCTTTCACAGTAGACGCCAGCCCCAGTATATTCTTCTTACAGTCGTTTCCACGAGGGATAACGACATCTACATCGACAAATCTCTGGACTGGTCGTTTAGTCGTTTATTTTTCCAGGATGGTTCCCATTGATATCCGACTCGTACAGGATACATCTATGTTCATAGGCACAATTGCGACAAAGATTCTGTTCATTCAGCTTTGGGGTACACTGGCATTTAATGTTATGATCACGTTCAGCATTGCGTTCAGAGCATTTGGGTTGTGCTCCTCGGAGCTCCCGTTCAAGAATCGAGGCTGCGCTTTCCGCCTTGTCTAATTTTGTGGATGTCGTTTTTTGGCGCTGAGAATGCCACCAGACAAGAGATACATGGGATAAGAAGGACCTAAACACGGTGTCAGTGTATAATCAATAGGTCCCCAATTTTTATTCCCTTCACCACACTGTGGCATAGGGTATTATGCATGGTACAATAATACAAGGTAGGGCAGCTTGAGGTGAATAACAAAATTTATGCAATTATGCACGTGTGGCTTCTTCTGCCAAAAATAAATTAAATATACGCAACAGGTGTTTGTGTTTATTTGACATTTTTTCAACGCAAAACGAGAAAAATGAATGAAAGGTTATGATTTCTTCCCAAAATCCAGTAGGGAATACCATAAAATGTTTATTTCATCCATAACAAAATAATTACTTCCTGACGATCATGTTAAAAACATAACTTTAATTTCAATTAAATTTGAATATATTTCAATTTATTTGACATAGTATTCAAAACAATACACACACATACACAAAATATGTATTTTGATTTGATGGAACAATCCACCTTGAGAAAAAATTGTAATCAGTTGGTAGCTGTGCCCTATCCTGTAATAATTATACCATGGTATTATGTCTTTGTGCATATGTTTGGAACAGCCAAAAGGAATCGAAATAGACCCATGGTTTCTTTATGAATATGCATAAAATCACTTTCTGAATCGATTTATGCATGTCCGTCCATCCGTCCTTAATCCGATTTGGATGAAATTTGGTACAGCTCAATTATTTGGCCCAAGGAAATTGTTGAAACCCGGTTCGGATTTAGATATAGCTTCCATATATATTTTCGTCCGATTTTATGTTAATGGAGCACCAAAGCCCCTATAAATCTCTCATTTGGCACGAAATTGCAAAATTTAGTCTAGAATGTTATATGCTGCGTTTAGTAAAAATTTGTTTCGATTTAGATATAGCTCTCACATATATTTTCGACCGATTTAATGTATTATGTACACTAAAGATCCAAAGTTTGGCCGATTGGCACGCAATTTTGTACAACGTCTTTAGCATTCGTTTTCCTCTGTAATTAACAGTCGAGGATAGTACCAAGGTATTTTCCTTCGGGCGAGTGCTGAAGCTGCGCTCCATCCAGGGTTGGTGGAACAAAGTCGCCATGCTTACGTCTTTGACATAATACTAGTGGAAATAAACTTGTATACAATGAAAGTAACACGACAATGAGAGACAATGACATTGATTAACTTAAAAAACGGAACAAAGAATTGAAAGATGCAATATCGGCGATAATGGTATGTAATTTCTATCTTTGAATTTGTCTTCTTATATCTTCCTAGGTAGAAATATCAGACCTGATGATTCCCGAAGAGTGATACTACTTGTTTAAACCACCATTATTACTATCCCCCAAACCCTCATAGGTAAGAACGTATTATTTGCCTAGGCTCTAAAAATGAATACTGTAAACATATTAATAATTAATACATATAAAATTTTATACACTACGTGTACTTTTATTACAATGCTTCAATAAATTCAATGTCATCGTGACTTACACACTTGTTCATTGGAGCTTGGTGAGGTCAGTGACACAAAGTCCAACGTACACACTAAAGGCCATAGAAATAAATATGTAATATAAAAAAACAAGATAAAATAGAACACCTTACGAAAACTCGGGCATTACAACCACACATACAAAAAAACATTTTCAGAAAAATAAGAAAACATTTTGATTCATTATGAATTCTTCTCGAAATTTGTGGACACGACTTTTTGCGTCTGGTATATATGTATGTAATTTATATTGTCGCCTACTTAATAGAATACCAAATTTTTTAAAGCAACAAAATATTCTGAAAATTGCACCAATCTATAATTACAACAATACGAACAATCCCAATAATGTACTTACTATTTCTGGTTTAGACCATTTGTGAATCTTGTAAAGCGTTCTTGAAATGCCTCCATTTTGGCTATTTACTGCAAGCAAATACACTTTCCGTATGCCCGGTTTTCGATGTAACTTTTTTATTTTACAACAATTTGTCAAATAGATTTTTTTATATCCAAAAAATGGTTTTGAAAACACTCGTTCTCAGTAACAGTGTGCTGCACAAACTACTTTGATTGTGATCTATTAACAAATTATTCGACGTTTTCAATTTATTGAATATGTACTATTTTATGTTTTTCGTAAACGCAGATTTTCTAGATGTTTGTTTTGCTTTGGGACGATTGCAATTGATTTTAGTGGTGGTGAAATTCCAATTAGTAGCAAGCGGTTAGGTGGTGGGACACGTCAGTGGCCACTTAATGTAGAGTTGCCACATTTTAAAATGTGCATTGTTTACAATTTTTTTTACTGTATTTGGTGTGTACCACACCTAAAGCGGAATCAAATTTACGGTATTGAAGGCAACGCAAATTCCATGGTATAATAATAGAAGGTAACAGCCATGGTGTATTTAATAAGGTGTATGCATCAGATACAACAACAAATATTTTACAAATTCAACATTGTTGTTATAGAAATTAAATTGTCATGGTACCATTTAGTTTTTTTCAAAAAAAAAAAAAAAAATATTTATTTGATTTCATTTTTTTGTCAACAAATAATCTATGAGGAATTGAAATCTTCTGTTTTTATGGAAAACTGTGGCTTCCAAATCAGACCTTCTCAGTGGAAAAGTTGTGTGCCATAAATCGCCGATCAAAGACCCCAAAATAATGAAGATTGTACTACGTATTCAGTATACCAATATTGTCATAAGCGTATGTCAAATTCTCGGGCTGAAGTACGGCTATCCACAAATGCTTTTCAATTTAAAATAACATATAAAGATCCACTACAAAAACTATTGCAAAGATTTTGTGCCTAACTATGAGTTAGGCTGGATATCCGTCGAAGATTTTGCAAATACCAATGGGCAGATTCCAATATTCAATTTCATTGGGTTTGAGGGAGGTTGAGGATTCATACCCTACACGTATGGACTTTAACACTAGAACGCCGAAGGCGGTCCGCTTTCCAATTTCAAGTACAAAAGCAACTGTGCATTTAATGACACTTTTTTTTAAATTTGATGAATTTTTTATAATAAACGTAATTCTATGAGGTACAGTGTTAAACATTAGCTACTCAATATAATCTTGCAAATTATGATATTTTCGTGAGAAAGCACTAGGGACATTATAGAGGCCCATATTTCAGAATGTGTGGCAAACAGGCTCCTTGCAAATTTTAAAGCTCCTTATTTCAGCGGCCTATAATCAGGAACCCAATGTAAAACGTATATTTTTTGTCATTTGAGGCTTGTAACATTTTCTTTTCCTATAAATGTATATTTTGTTGTTGAGCATAATTTAAATTTGAAGGAAATGAAACGTCGAAGAAATTTGTTTTGACAATTTATTTCACAAACAATAAAGAAAAAAGTTTAAAACCATATGATTGTCACTTACACCTTATTAAATGCGCCTTGGTAACAGCAAGTGTTGTTGTACAACAAACGATACAACAACCCCATGGAAATTTGTTGTTGTAAGTTATACTAGTGTCAACGTCATTTGACAGAAAGATGTAAACAAACAAACAAATTATCAACAAATTATATTTATTTTGGTCTTTCTAGTACTTTTTTAAAGCTAGTAAAAGGGAAACATTTAAAAATCGCTCTCAGAGTACAAAATAATTTGAAAAGTTCGGGAACGCAACTCTAGTAAATATGCCAAAAATAGACGGCAATACTTCAAAATCCACATAAAACCAATCAGAAGTAGGCATTCCTATTTACCACTTTTACTAGTTCAAATTTCTCGAGTAAAAAGTTTACAAAGAGAACGCCATTTTGTTTTGTGTTCTCTTAAATTTCATTTTTTACCAGTTTTACCAGTTTTCGAGTAAAAAGCAAAACTTGTAAAATTTGTAGATTCTTTTAGGTTCTGGGACGGAACTAAAAACATGAAAAACATGAATGAAAATCTATACAATTTGTATTTCTATCGCTTTCACATCTTTCCTATAATTGAGCCATTGCCACTAATACATGCAACTCATATGAAAATGCAGATCTCTCAATCAGAAGACTGGACGGCTGTGACCCCCCTCGAGCAAGCTCGTCGGCTATCTCATTCCCTTCAATATCGTTATGTCCTGGAACCCAGCATAGCCCAACTATTTGTCGTATATCATTCAGAGCGGTCTTACAATCATGAACTGCTTTCGAGTTTATAGTATGCGCCTTCACCGCTTTCAGGGCCGCCTGACTATCTACATAAATAGTCACCGGTCCCGTAATGTCGGCATTAAGTGCTTTTACTATCTCGGCCGCTTTCGTGATTGCGAGAATCTCTGCTTGAAAAACGCTACTGTCATGAGTTTTGTATACCTAATTCCCTACAGTAGACGCCAGCACCAGTGCCTTCTTCCATCTTGGACCCGTCTGTGAAGATTGACAGATCTGGCAGAGGTAGACAGCCACTAGTCCAGGATTCCCTACTAGGAAATTCAACTTTGATGACATTAAAGTCCCTATGGGGGGGAATATAATCACTGATATGACTATCCCCCCTAAAAAGGTCATAACCTGGCGTTATGTTTAGGATGCTGGCATGACCATAGTTCAGCGATTTCAAGGCATCTGTTTCCCGGAGTCTCAGGGCACACCTGGCCGCCTGGAATTTGATCAGAATATGCAATGGTTGAAGATTCAAGATTGCATTCAAGGCTGCCTGTGGTGTACTTCTTAATGCTCTGGTGATCAGAATTGAAGCCGATATCTGTACTATGTTCAGTTTTGTCAGCAGCTTCTTTTTGTTCACCCCCTGCCACCAGACAAGACAACCATAAGTAAGTATGGGTAAGACAATCGTCGTATACAGCCAGTGTATAATTCCGGGTCTCAATCCCCAACTCTTGCCTATGGAGTTCTTGCATGAATAGAGTGCCAGCAATCCCTTTTTGGAGCGTTCATCAACATTCCTATTCCACAGTAACTTGCGGTCTAGGATATTGCCAAGATATTTAGCTTCATCAGAAAGGGTTAAAGTCTCTCCACCAAGTGATGGCAAGCGGAAACTAGGAATTTTGTGTTTCCTAGTGAAGAGCACCAGTTCTGTTTTAGTGGGGTTTACACCAAGACCCTTGGTGCAAGCCCAATTTGACAGGGTTGAAAGGGCACCCTCCAGGATGTCTGACTACACCATCGGCATAGGCTACAACTTTTATCCTGAGATGATTGAATTTCAAAAGTATCTCATTTATCACCAGAAGCCACAAAAGTGGGGAAAGTACTCCTCCCTGAGGTGTGCCTCTATTGGCAGATTTCCTCACGGAACTCTCTCCTAAGGATGAGTTGATAATTCTGCTTTCCAGCATTCTATTGGATTGCCTCTAGCTTCACATTGTTGAAAGCTCCTTCGATATCGAGGAATGCTGCCAACGTGTAGCCAGAGGACTCCATATTCTTCTCGATGCATCCAACCACCTCATGCAGAGCTGTATCCACTGATTTGCCTTTGATGTAGGCATGCTGGGATTTACTAAGTTTACTACGGTCAATGGTATTTCTAATTTTTGAGTCTAGTAACCTTTCTAAAGTTTTTAGTAGAAAGGAAGAAAGGCTAATCGGTCTATAGTAGTAGTCAAAATCGGTGCAATATTTTTTGAGGTTAGCGATCACGAAAAATTTATATATATATATATAAATTAAGAATCCACTGTAAACTGCTATGTAATTAATAGAAAATAAATTAATGTTTGAAAATATGGCAACATTCAACATGGCATGTGAATCACTGTGAAATGTTGTTCAGAATAAGTCGAAGGGGAAGAGCGAGTAATCGTGGAATTGTCAACCAGAATAAGGCTGAATATTTAAACAAAGTCTGTGAAATAAAGTTCGGAATACTTTATCACCCTTATTCTGGGCATCAATCCACCGTAAATTTGTTCGCACTTCCCTTTAAAGTTATTCTGAACCAGAACTCGATGCGAGTTTGTTCGCATTTTTTCATATGACAACACAAATTACAACTTAAATTATAATATGGCATCACGAATCTTTTTTTTCAACCACCATTTTCGAAAATTCGAATCCACATCTCGCATTTTTTGCTTCTCCCCAAGGTATATTTAATAAGGTAGCCGCATCGGCCCAGCTGTTGGACAAATAAATGTCAAAAATGTTGTTGTAATGTTGAACCAAAAAATTAAAAAAACAAAATTATAAATGAAAATCTCCGAATTTCGAAGAGCCTTTTTGGCACTACTTTTATTAACATTTTCTACAAGAATTTGTGTAAAAAAATCTTGTCAATCTGTTTGTTTTTGCAAAATATTTTTGACATATCAAAATACAACAACCGATGTTTGTTGTAGAAATTCGCCGATGCGGCTACCTTGTATATCTACCTTGCTTCTCCCCATTCGTTCTGAATAAGGTGAGAATGTGAAAGCGAAACAGTTTTTTCATGCGAAAAATTTCCCTAACAAATATCCAGAATCAGGCAATTCCAGGTGAATTTACTCGCTCTTCCCCTTCGACTTATTCTGAACAACATTTTCCTGTGATTTTTTTCGTATTCTCTTTCGCCTTATTCTGAATGAAGTTCGAAAGGGAAAAAATCTGCTTTGGGGAAAAATTAGGTATTCTGGATTACAGGGAGTAGGAGAATGTGATGACATTTTGTGCGAAATTTTACGATAATAAATTTAAAGAGAGCTGACTACAAAAATATAAGTAATAAATATTTTTATGAAAAATATTTACACAATACCTATACTATGACGATTTAGAATATTATAAATGATTGTATGCAACTTTTTAACTGGAAATCAACATATAAAATGCCATTGGAAATCCTATTGATAACGGATCTGTCTCTCAAGAAAAAAATTGTAAAAATTATTGAAAAACCAAATTTGCCTAATGAGCCGCCTAACAGTGAAAAACTTAAATAAAAATTATGAAAGAACAAATGAAGAAATAAAGAAGTAGGAGCAAATCATAACATAACTTTAAGAATTTGGGCACACAATTATGTAGTGAAATAATAAACTGTGAATTAATTCAATCGCAGATTTCTTCCCATTATTCGTTGGATTTTTTCTTTCAACATTTTTTTCTTTTATTTGTAATCTATTGTAGTTGTTACACCAAATTGCATCAAAACAATGAACAGCTGTTTCACATGTCATATTGTAGGTTGCCATGTTTTCAAACTTTAATTCATTTTATTTTAATTACAAAACATTTATACAGCGGATTCTTGATTTATCAAATTTGTATTATTATAAAGTTTAAATAAAAATAACAATTTTTAATAAAAAAATCAATAAATAAAATATTGCAAAATTAAATTACAATGGGGCAACAAACATTGCAACTTAAATTACAATAGGCAACACAATCTTTTTTTCAACCACCATTTTCGAAAACTCGAATCCGCATCTCGCATTTCTTGCGTCTCCCTATTCATACTGAATACGACGAAAATGTGAAAGCGAAAATTGTTTACATGCGAGATATCTTCCAAGCGAATGCCCAGAATAAGGCTGTATATTTTTATAGTCATACCCCTTAAAATTTATTAGCGAAAAAATCTGTAATTCTGAATGACTTAATTTTCCCCATAGCGGATTTTTTCGCTTTCAACGATTTATGAAAATTCCTCATATATTTACTGTCCATCTTCTCATGAAAGAACATTCGACTCCGATAAATTAAAGGAACTGGAAATATAGCAGATCAAACACCTAATTTGTGAGTGTACCATGTTTTGCAATAAAACTTTAGTGCTTTAAACTTTTTCTCTCGCTCAAAAAATTTGACCTTCTCCTTCGATACTATCACCGTCTCCCCAAATAAAAATTAAGGAACAAAACCTAAAGCAAAGTCATAAATATTTAAAATATAGTATTGAGAGTTATTTAACATTACGGTCAATAAGCGGGTACATTTGTACCTTTTTTCGAATAAAAATGCTGTAAAACTTTTAATAATAAAGATATTTGGATCAAATTTTGAGGAATCATTCTTGAGGTATTTTCACACATAATCGAAGAAAAAATTATAAATATTTTCCATATATAAAATTTTTAAAATTTTTAAAATTTTTTAAAATTACCTGTATACCAAAGGAAAACCAAGGTAGTTTCTGATTTCCACGAGACGCCTTGATGACCCCATGTTGTCTAGGGCCAAAAAAATTTGCAGAGGGGTTGAGGAACACCTAAATAAGATCTCAATAAAAAAACTAAAAAAGCTTAACCCATTCGAAAGCTATAACGAATTTACTATGTTTGTTTTAGATCGATTATCATTTAAGCATGGATTTAAATATATATTATTTTAATGTACATATAATTTTGAGTTCGTACATCTAGATCAGATCCGTATAGACTAATTTAAAACCAAAAACCTCACGATAGTCCAATTCTTTAATGAGTTACAGAGCTATCTTTGGATGGGTACAAATGCACCACGGTTATTGATCTACGTATACTTTTTTGGTTATTGACCGTAGGGTTAAATTGGCAACCGTCCACGAAATGACATTATTATTTTACTCACCTCTGTTTTTGTCATGGATATAAATTTATGTTTTTTCTTACACACTCATGTTCCATAAATAGCGGGAGCAGTAACACAATAATGACAGCTAATGTATGTTTTAAAGGCCACATATTTAATCAATATGCTTATTTTGTAGATGAGAATTTGTTTGGCATTTTTTTATACATTGTAGAGTTTGTTCTTCTCGAAAGATTACAAAAAATAATCACAAACAGTAGAAAAAAAAGAACAAACTTGCCTTGGCAAATATTACATTATAACAATAATTAATTTAAATGGTATGTATAGCAAAAACGGTGGAGAAACAAGATTTCTTAATTACTAAGTTAAACTCTATGTACATAGATTTAAACTCTATTTCTTTGGTAAATGATACAAATGTGTCTCTTTTTTGGGATTATTAGTGATACAAATTTCAACACTTGTTTTTGTAATTATCTCATATATTTATATTTTTTATTAATAAACTGAAATATCAATTTACAAACAATGTATGTATGTATGTGTGTACGCGTAGTTATTAATTAAAGTGTCTAATTATTTGATGGTATTAAATAAAAAAAGGAGTGGTGATGGAAAGATTTGTTGCTGCCGGCTAATAGTAAATCATGTAATGCTTTGAAATTGCAGCCACAGATTTTTGCATAGTCATTGTTGTTGAACTGTCTTCCATTTTTAATTTCCTTTTTGGGCATTTTGTTGTTTTCTTGTTCAGAGACTTTATCCACGTTCGTTTAATCCATATTGCCATATCAGCTGTCCAGTTTTGTAGCTAACCCAAATGTTAATAGTAGTAGTCTCTTGTTTTCAATGCATTTTGAATTTCCGATAATGATATCTGGTAAATCATAGGATTATTAATTGGATGTGAGGTTGTGGGATTAGGTTATTCATAAAGGTAACGATCGATGATCACTTGTTGCAAGTTAAATAATCTTTATTTGTGTATTTGTTTCATTATATGTCAATATGACTAATGTCTGGAACGATGTTCTCGGTCACGTTCACGCTCGCGATCACGGTCACGATCACGTTCGCGATCACGATCCCGTTCACGTTCGCGGTCACGATCGGATGACCGATAGCGTTCCTCGTAGTAACTACGCTTCGATGGTGCTTCGGTGCCTACATCGCCGCCCGCTGGTTCGGGAGTTTTTCGTGCTCTTGCCGAACGGCTGGAACTATCATCACGATAGTGATCATTGGTACTAGGACGTTCTCGTTCACGGCTTCTAGAGCGATCGCGATAACTGGAAAATAGGCGAGACAAATAAATATTTGGAATTATTTTTTTGAATAGCATCTAGTAGAAATGTGTGAAGATTCAACAAACATTTGCCTCAAGGCTTGATAAAAGAGCAACAACTCAAAACTTACCCTCCAGCATCACGATCTCGTTCCCTTTCTCGATCACGTTCCCTTTCGCGTGATCGCTCACGATACCGTGATGATGATCTTTCACGTCGCGGCCTCTGTCGATGAGATCGATCACGTGATCTTGATCGTTCACGTCTATTATAACTTTTCGTTTCAATGCCGTGCAATGTGTCCTGCAGTGAGCTAATCAATATTTTGCAACGTTCATCGTGAGCCACCTTCGATTGTTTAATCAATGAGATTGCTGTGACTAATGTTTCAATAGCGCTGGAGTATTCACCGGCTGCAGCATCCGATACCGCTCTTGCAATTGCAGAACTGCTAACTGTGCGATTGCGACCCATTATTTCTTCAAATTCAGCTTCACTTAGTTGAGGTCCCATGGGCTGTTGTTGGTCCGGGAAGGTTTGTTGCTTAACCGGTCCCGGCGGACCAGGCCAAGGCCCCCGTGGTGCACCCTGCTGTGCAAAGTGGGGAGGTGGTCCGTGCTGGGGTGGCATATTCATTCCCTGTTGGGGACCGGGTGGACCATGTGGCGGGCCTCCACTCATAGGTGGGCCACCAGGGTGTTGTGGAGGACCACCGCCAGGCTGATTAAAGAATGCGGGATTGACATGTGGAGCCGGACCACCAGGAGCGCCGTGTGGTCCTCCAGGTGGAGGAACACCAGGACCACCCATTTGTGGAGGGCCACCCGGAGGACCTCTAGGAGGGCCCTGCATATGTGGTGGCCCCTGGGGTGGGCCACCAGGCGGTCCCTGCGGAAAGCCTCCATGCATGGGAGGTCTCCAGTCAGGTCTCGGGCCACGCATTGGCATACCGCCAGGAGGTCCCTGAAACTAAAAATAAATTTTCATTTTTCAAACGCTTCATCTTTTCAACTCGATTCAATGAACAACAATATAAATAAACCCTCGAATTTTTGAAATTAATTAAAACAATTAATTATCTCAACATTCTGAATGCTTAAATTCTAATAACAATAAATTCATTCTAGTAAAAAAAAAAATACAATACAATTAAACATATTTATAAAAATAAGGGTGTTACCATTTGCGGAGGACGTTGTGGCGGTCCATTCATGGGTCCTGGTCGGGGACCATTCGGACGTGGCTGACCCGGCCATTGTGACTGTTGCTGGCCAAAACGTGGTGGTCCTTGCATGCCTTGTTGTGGTACCATTGGTGGTCCCTGATGCATAGGTGGCTGTATTTCATCATTTTGTATGTGATGGATTTCGATTGAAATTGAATGTTGTGAGCGTTATTGTTTTTTTTTTTTTTTTTTTTTTGTTATTTATTAACGTAATTTTGGTTTGGTTTGGATTTTTGTTTTTCAATTTTTTTTAAAACATGTTGTTGTTGTTGAATGATGAGGATGATGAACATGGAATAAGAAATAATAGACAATAGTAACTATAATAGATTGTAAACATATAGGTATAGGTGTAAATTAAAATTATACATTTCTCAACTACTAAATAATGCTACAATATTATATAAGTCTATGTCTAAGAAATTTCAATGTCAATATGTATGTAGCTTATTAATAAGAATTATAATTAAAAAATGAAATTTGTATAGTTAATGCTCTTATTAAAAATAAAATTGTAGGGAAATAAAGTGAACCATAATGATAATGTTGATTAAAACAAAAATAAAAATTTGTACAAATATGGTTTTTTTCTTAACGAAATATGGCATGTTTCTTAATTAAAATTTAGTTTATGTATACATTCAAACATATTTATAACTGTAAGTTGATATATCTGTAACGTGCGTTCAAATTCGCTTATAACGACGACGTTGACGAATTTTGTAGCTAAAAAAATATGAAAGTTTGAATCTGATGAATTATAGCGATACGTAAAGTTCGACGTATCCATCTAAAAAAAAATTTTGAGTATATGACAAGCCTTATAATTTTGTCTTCGATTCTAATTATTTTACTTGAATGTATATATTCGAGATGTTTGTGTAATACGTTCGTGGAGTAGGCAATGATGTAATTGTAATATTTACAGTTATTTCATATTTTAGTACTACTCAGAGTTTTGAAGGTAATATTATAAATATCTTCAGAATATTGATTGAAGGGAAGGCCATAAACTATTAAACCGTATACATACAAAGTCTTTTTGATAACAAAAATTAACATATTTTGAGAAGGGAGTCGTTGTGCATTAAATGATCCATATTAGTATATTTTTAGTCCACTTGTTGTTGTTGTTATTAGGTTTGTTCGTTTACTCAATAATTTGTACAAATTTCTACAAATTATTACAAAATGTTGTTCGTTTACCCAAATGTCTAGTAAAAGAGAGTGAATTGAGAAAGTAGATTTGACAGTTGTATTACTGTAAGAATATTCAGTAAGAATATTCTCGTTCCATCTGCTGATGTTTAATCAGCTGTCTTGTTATGTCTTGTAAACAAGCAACAAAATTGTTCTCAAGCAAATTGATCGTTTTGTGAATTTTATGTTGATTGCGTATCATTAAACATTAAAATGGATGAAGAAAGCGCATGTATTTATAAACAAAAACAATTTTCGGCTTGTTATCCATTTTTTCTAAAAAAATGCTGCTTTTTTAGTTTGCGTCAAATTGTTTGTTGTTATAATCAGGTGTGTCGATGCAATATTTTTCCGGGATGTAGTAATTTTCTTCCCCAGAGCCTGGAAAACTTATTTAAATCGATATTGTTTTCGACTTTTCTTTATAAATTATAAAGGGGTTTTGAAAATTTCCATGATTTTTGGTTGGAGGACATAAGGATTTTAATCATTTTAAATGAGACTCTGACGCTATAATAGTATTAAGCGGACCCCACCCATTCTGGATTTCAAAGTTCGACGGGTTTCAACCGGCTGGCAAATGAGTATACATTTGGTATGTTCCCGTACTGCAAGAATTATTTAAATTATATTAAAGACTTGTATCTTTGCATACACGTATTTGAACACTTAAGGGAACCCCCGCTTCAGCCGTCGCTTGATGCTGACACAATAAATCGGCTATATCTTCAAAAGTTGTTAAGATTTTCACTTGAAATTTTGTAGGGATATTCTTGAATTAGTGTAGGTTCCAATCAAATAAAAAACAAAAGTCCTTCTTCTCAACGCGGATATGAATGCCGATCACTTAAACATCTGAATCTGAAAATTCCAACGCAATTAGAAAAAGAACATATCTGTCTCTGGTAAAAACTAGATTTATTAACATCGCTCGAAAATTAGGAAAATGGCGGACCTAGAATTTTTATATTTTGGAAAATCGATTATTTCGGCACAAAACCAAGCTGGAAAATAGCTATGTAGGTCCAGAGTAACATGAAATTTAAATGAGACATTCGTGAGAAGTTATATTAAATAAAAATATAGAAAATCAATTTTTTGAAACCGAGAATGGGCAGGGGTCCCCTTAATTTATAAATATTGAGTCTGTGTCTTTCGGCCGACAGCAGAAATAATCCAAGAATACCTAGCTTTTGAAATATTACATCAGCTATAATCGTCAGTGGGAAGCAAAATTTAATGGTATCGTAATACTCGTGGCAAGTTCTATATGACATCTTTGATTTATGTAGAATACTCAGCTGATTTAATTGTATCGTAATTTTCGTGTCAAGTTCTATATGACATCTTTGATTTCTGTAGAACGGCCCATTAGGAAAATTGTGTACACATTTTATTTGAAATAAGATATTTTTTTTTTTGAATTGTTTAACATTTATCTTTGCCATGTTCTCAAATCTGCAGGCGATGGAAAAATGTAGAATACGTTTTTAATTTTTTCTGAACCGATTTAAAGTTTATTAATTGGCATGAGAACTTCATTTACATAATTTGAAAGAATATTAATCGCGAGTTAAAAATTATACATTATCAAATTTAAAAAAATCGCAGCAGAGTTTCGTTGCCCTTTGGTTTACAATTTACTTCAATTTCCTAAAGGGATCATTTAAAGGAGCAAATCCCTTTGCAATGGAAAATTGCTATTTTCTCTACAGTTGTGGTAATGACTCAATTGATGAAAGATCTGCAAGCGATAGAATTATAAATTTGCAAGACTTTCATTCATGCTTTTCAATTTTATTCTGAAAATACAAAACTAATTTTGAAAATAAATTAACAGCCTGTTTATGTATTTCGAAAGAAAGGTTTCTTTGGTTCATGTAAAAACCTGTTACAGGCAAAGGAAGACGAACGATAAACAACTCGAAAGAAAACGTAAACGTACATATATTTTTTCTTTAAAAATTTTGTTTATTTGAAGCACTTTCACACAATACAATCTCTATGCAAAATAAAAATTTTTGGAACATGTATTATAGGCATCGCTTGGATTTTTCATTCATGTTTTTGGAAAATAAAATTGTACAAATACTGAACAATTTTTTTTTCAAAACTGTGATTGTTCTCAAATGGGACTCTCATTTATTGAACATTGTTGTAAAACTTTACATTTAATTTAGTAGTTTTTCGCATGGTATACGTAACGCAAACGAACTATAGCTTTCGAAATACATGAACGCTTTTTTAAACGAAAGTGAGTGAGTTACTTTCTTTAGCATTGATTTACGTTCGAAATAGAAAACAAGGCTGTAAATTTATATTTATATATATATTTTGTTTACATTCGACATATATTTAAACGTAATAAATTGTTTAAAATTTGAAATGTTGTATAATTCTCTTGTAATATAATTAATTTTTTCAATCATGACTTCAGAATTACTATTCAAATTGTCTGGACGCCTATGTCACAAAGACATGAACTAAACTATCTTCGACTGTTTAATGGACATCCATTTTCACCCATTACGCATGAATATTCAACAATTTAAACAAATTCCTGTGCTACTCGTCTTTTCAGTTTCAAATAACAAATTATTAAGTCGGTCCGGAAAACGTGAAAAACATAATTCATGCTCAGAATCATGGCATAATTATTGAAGGTAGTCTCATTTGAGAATTGGATGATGGCAACCCTTTTTAATTTCGAATTCAGGGTCGTACCTAAATTCATGCGTATGCGTACGAATTTATTGACCTCAAAAGTTAAATACATGTATTTCAATGAATGTTATCCAAATACGCATTGCGTTTTCAATTTCCCGTTTTCAATTTGCACAGATGCAAATAAAGTCCTTACGTATGTGGGTAATACATTACTCTCAAAATATTTATAAATACAATTTTTGCCACTGAGAAGAACATGATTTGCGTACTTTTCGAAGGAAGACCTTTTCATTTAAATTTTGAAAACTGAATGCTGTCAAAGGCGAATTTATGAAAAATTTGGAAACATACAGTTAAAATACATTTTAACTATTTAAAATATTGTAAACACAAAGATGATGAAACATTTTTTTATAGATCCCCTATTTTTTTGTAAATAAAAATATATCGTGTGGCAAACTAACTGCAATAAATTATAAAAAATAACTAAATTAATTTCTCGTAGTACAAGTAATTGCTCAGAGCCATGGTACAATTATAAAAGGTAACAGCAAATCCCAGCTGATTTGATTCCAACGTAATACTAGTCCCAATATGAATTTGACAAATTATGTTTTTAAAAATCACCCAACAGGAAAATTGGGAACGCAATTTGAAATTGTTCTTTATTAAATGTGCTCCTGTATTCAATTTACTCAATCTGCCTGCTGGGAAAGTTTGAGGAAGCAAATCTTTCTTCAAGGAATAACTCGCTATTCCCAACATTTTTTATATGTGTTACACATATATATGGCAATGGCTCAATTGTAGGAAAGATGTGGAAGCTATAGAAATATAAATTTGATAGATTTTCATTCATGTTTTTCAATTTTTATTTTGAGGATTCGAAAATATTTCATTTTCAAAATAAAAATAATTTGATGATAATTTGTTTGTTTGTTTACATTTTTCTGTCAAATAAAAATTAGTAGAACTTGGCAACAAAAATTTCCATGTGGTTGTAAAAATAACAAATTAATGTTACCTTCTATTATTATACCATGGCTCAGAGCCATGTGAAGTTAAAATTCAACAGTTTATCCATGGTGTATTTAATACACCTTGAGTTTATCCAAAACAATTTCTACAAAAGCAGGAGTTAAAAATTCGAAGCAAAACCCCCACATAAAATAAAAATGTTTTATTTACTGAAATTTAATATCATTTTTTTATTAAATTGTTATTTTCCATTAAACAGAGTAGTTTTTGTTCTTTTGATTTCAAACAGAATTTCAAAAAAATATGCAACAACAACATTTAAACATATGTATGTAAAAAAAAACATATTTTGTCTATCATCATCACAATTTGTACTTAGGTAGAATGTTATTAGACAATTTCAAAATATTTTTGTTTTTTGTTTTAAATCATATTTTTCAGTTATAAAGAAATATATATGTATATTTTTGTTATTTTTTTTTAAGTACTAAGTACACATCACTGATATTTACATGGATAATAAGTGAGAAGTACGTGTTGTTGTATATAAAAAAGTTATGAATGAAAAAAACGGATTTTCATTAAAAAAAAAAATAAATAACATGCAAATCTTACAATACTAAGAGATTATGGAATAACAAAAATAATATATATGCGTATAATATTTAATATGGTATCACATTTCAATATTCCCTTCTGTGGCTGTTGTGATGCCTGCCTTTGTGTTCTTGTATTTATTATTATTTTTTTTTTGCCAGCAGACATCACATACTCAGAATAAATAGAAGAGAAAAAATAGAAACAAACAAATTTGTAGAAAAGGGTGATAATATTGACAACAAGAAGTTCACTTAAAAATATTTCTCTAAATATACTTGTTTATTTAATTTATTATTACATATTTTGTACTTTTCTTGCGTTTTTTTTTCGAAAAAAAAAATAATAACAAAGACAATGAGAAGAGAAGTACAGACACGAGTTTGTAAACGATCGTTTAGTTTTGTTACAACTAAGAACAGCAAGAAACAATATAAAATATTTTGTGGTAACAATGAGGCTGTCTGCTGTTGGTATCACAGTTTTTTCTTAAACAAAACTATATGTGTTTAATTGTTATATAATATATATTTATATAAACAATGGATAGTAGACTTAATATTTTATAAAAAAGTGTTTAGAAATTCGGTTAAAAAAGGATAATAATGACTAACGAATAGTTATGTTTAATTGCTCTGAAATACATTTCATTTACACTTATTTGTAAATCTTATTCGAAACAACAATAATTTTGAACAATCTTAGTTTTGTATGAAATATCATCAGATGAGACGTTGTTTTTGAAAATGATAAATTGAAATAACAGAAAGAGTGTAGATGAGAAACTTAAAAGGCATTCAGAACAATTGAGATAATGTTAAAAATATACAAAAACAAAATAGAAATGATAGCTTTTTTAATAAAAAGGAAATATGTAAATAAATAAAAAATACCATTACCATAATCAGATGAAAAAAACATTAAAAATATTATAATTTAATAAAACAAAATAACAACAATATGTTTGGTTATCTTAAACATATCAGTCTTTGTGTGGGAAATACAAATATAAAAATAAACTACCCATAATTTATAGTAGTAAACTATACTTGTTTGTTATATTGGACAAATATGTGTATAGAGGACTAGAATACGTTCTATGGTACTGTGGCTACGCTTGCTTGCTAGTTAACAACATACCTGCATTCGGGGAGGTCCCTGACCAACGGGCGGTCCTTGTGGTGGCATATGCTGTGGCCTAAATTGACCTGGCGGCATATTCGGATTCATGGGCAGACGTTGCTGATGTCCCGGTGGTACTCCTTGTGGCCCGCCTGGATGTGGTGGCATTGGTCCGCCCGGCATCATGTTGGGTGGTGCTGGGCCTCTTGGTGGTCCATTTTGTTGCGGTGGTGGTACTGGACGTGTTTTTTGTAGACTCTCAAATTGATTTAAAGCCTGCTTCGTTGGATATGTAACAACTGGCGCCTGGCCATGCAATTCTTTTTTCGGCAAGCGCTCCAAAACCAAACGCATGCTGTTTTCCGATGCCAATGAAACAACGCTAAAACCTTTCGATTGACCATTGGCACGATTCTCGAAAAATTTCACCTCTTGAAAATCGGTGACACCTATATCGCGTATAGCATTAGCAATATCTTGATCAGTTGTCCACTGTAAATGTAAAATGAGGAAGAAATAGTTTAGTTTACATAAAAATAGATCAATGTTGAAACATTTTTATAGAGTTTGGAATAATAACGATATAGAATAACAAGTGATAATGTGTTCGAAAATAGTGTAGTGATAGGAAGTTAATGATCAATTTAAAACGGTGCAAAAAGGTCGACATATAATGGCATCCAAAAATATGAAATAGCAAATTCCGTTTAGGAATTTTTGATGTTAAAGATGTTTGTTGAAACATTTTTATAGAGTTTGGAATAATAACGATATAGAATAACAAAAATATGAACAATTTAAAACGGTGCAAAAAGGTCTACATATAATGGCATCCAAAAATATGAAATAGCAAATTCCGTTTAGGAATTTTTGATGTTAAAGATGCACCTCGCTCAGGTAGGCCGGTCATCAAAAATCGGAGAAATGGTCGATGTTGACCGGCATGTTAGGAGTTGTAACATCGCCCAGGAGATAAAAATCGACCATAACAGCTTTAAATCTTGTACAAAAAATAATAATAATAATAATGGATTTATTTTTCTTGAATACTGTATAATTTGTTACACTATTATTTCAAAATGCACCATTTATCCTACATCTACTATCAAGTTTGTTGTCATTTAGTACTCATCACACACATAAGCATATCCTTCTTATTTCCATTATACAGATTTCAAAGTGATCAGAATTCCAATTATATATTTCAGCAAATATCTACAGGTTCCACAATTAGTTCCATTCAGTACTTTTCGAACACATAAGTACACATTTTCAAGACTACCACCGTATATCAATCATTTAATAAATTTAGTACCGAAACCCCTTTGGTACTTCTTTCTAACTCTCCGTCAGTGACCCACATTCCAAATTATAGGTTTCCAGCATTCTCCGTTACTCAAATCCAAATTTAGTGCATTTTGTACTATTCTTACACATAAATTACTCATAAATAAAAATTTCTAAAACTAAATCAATCCTACGCTCTAAATCGATTTTATTTCCACCAAACGCCAAATTGTACCAAATTTAGTATTCAAAAGTACGAATTCCCAAAACTACCTCAATCCTATTTTAAAATAGTAAATCCAAATTTGAGAATTCCAGATCTATCTTCTCGGCTAAATCCAAATTGTACCAGATTTGGTACCATTCTGTATTTTTCGCACCCATATTCCACTCTCTCTCCTACAATCCGACAGTAATCTTCATGGCATCATTCGGGATTCCAGTTCTACTTGTGTCCAAATTGTACCAACTCCAATCAAATCCAATAATAATCTTAAGTCCACATTAAGGGGTTCCAGCTCTATCCATTTACCAACATCCAAATTGTACCAGATTTAGTACCGTTTATTACTTTTCGTAGACGTAAGAACGATTTTCCACTACTTTCTCAATTCTACACTCCAACAGTAATTTTAATAATACATTTCAGCCCTATCCGTTCACATACCTCCAAATTGTACCATACTTAGTACTTATAAGTATTTCCAACACTACCAAATTTCACTATCCAAATTAAATTCTTTCCATCTCTATCTGTTCACTCAAGTTTAAATTGTACTAAATTTAGTATCATTTAGAACACATAATTACTTTCATATCTCAATTCTACACTCCAACTACAACCATTATTACAAATTTTAGGTTTCCAGCCCTCTCCGTTCACTCAAATCCAAATTGTTCTAAATCTTGTGCCGTTTAGTAGTTTATCGTGCCAAAATATACGAATTTCCAAAGCTGTACTAAATTTATTACCTTTAAGTACTTTTCGTACCCATAAGTATGAATTTCCTAAACTACTTCAATCACACACTCCGACAGTCATTTTGGATTCCATCTCTATATGCTCAACTAAATGCAAATAGTACAAAATTTAGTACCATTTAGTACTTTTCATACACACACTCCAGCAGTCATTTTGGATTCCATCTCTATATGCTTAACTAATTGCAAATAGTACAAAATTTAGTACCATTTATTACTTTTCATACACATAACTGTAATTCAATGAATTGATTGAATATTGCAATGAATTTTTATTTTGCAAACCGCAATTTATGTAATTATTATTTGTCAAAATTGTACTAATAAAAAGTAGTAGTAGTAGTTGAGGGTGAGTTGTAATCCCACGGCGGCCGGTTCTATGCGCCACCTCAACCTCAACTAATAAAAAGTAAGTTAATTCAAGAAAAAACAACAAAAATACGTTTATACGATCACAACTCTAACACTGCACATAGATTTGCATGTCATTAAAAAAATCGTTACACGTCCTTGAACCAAATTTCTATTATAACATCTTGATACAACACTTACCCATGTCAAATTTCCCACATACAATTGAAAACGCCTACCAGCTTGATTGGGAGCCAAACTACCAGCACCTTGATGGTAGACTCCGTTTGTTCCGGCATTTCCAGCACCACCTTCTGCGCCATTATTTCCCGAACTGGGGCTTTCACCACCACCCGTTGCTGGTGCGATTGCAGCACCACTATTATTGGCTTCGGGCGCCCCACCTATATCATCGTATAAATCCACTCCATCGCCAGCAAATTCATCCTACATTAACAGAAGCAACTCACCACATTAGACATTTCGCAATGATTTATTTGTTAATAGAAAAACAACACGTTACCTGATTTTGTGTATCCAAATCTTCGGCATAAAGATCTAATACCACGCCGTCAGCCATATTTGTTTGTTTCGCCTATTTTCACGGAATTGATTTGCCCAATATGGTCTGAAGTTTAGTTATCTGCTGCAAACACACAATATTGAGTGTGACCGAGGATTAAATATTCCACTGTTTTTTTCTCAAATAATTTTTTCTACACATACACACGCGTACTACGCGAGCACACACCGACCGACACCGGTGACAGCTTGCACCTTCTTTTCAACTTGTACCTCGCTTCAGTAGAATTTCTTCTGTACAGTTTCTGCTCACATAAATTGACTAATAATTAAAAATAATTGTTTATTTGGATGGTATTCACTGTTCCCTTTACACGTAACAAGTTTTTCATAAAAAATATGAACTTTTCTAGCTTCTATAATTGAAAAAAAAAATTGAATTGAAAATTTCCCTAGCGAATTCAAAGCCTAAATTTCAGCGAATGAAAAACTAAAATGGAATAAAAATGAGCAGGACAAATATATGTTGTGTTTTTTCTTTATTTGATAATCGGTCACATTTTTTGGTTAACCACTTCCGACATAGGGAGTTGCCATATGATGTCAATACGTTGAGTGTTGTAGCGACATCTAACGACGCCTTGGCTTCAAGAGAATTTTGCAGAAAGTGTAAAAAAAATATTTATTAAAAATAATAATTTATTCATAAGGTTAACAGTGAGTGAGTCTTCGTTGACTGTCAAATTTATTATTTGAAGAATTAATAAACAAAAAAATATTTTTATTCGAACCATAATATATGTGCACATTACTATCATTGCGTTTTCCTGAAAGATATTTTGAGTTTTTATCCTGTTCTGGTTGGTATTTCACGATTAAAATGTTGACAGCAACCTTAATCTTATGAATAAACCTTGTTCTGTAGGATTAATATATTAATATATTAATATATATGTGCACATTACTATCATTGCGTTTTCCTGAAAGATATTTTGAGTTTTTATCCTGCTCTGGTTTGTATTTCGTGAATAAAAAGTTGACAAGAGAAGATTAAGTTGTGAATTCGCATCCAGGTAGACCTTAGTTAATTCGTCATGCTTGTACTGTTTTGTAAATTTTTGTGCTAGGATTATTCATAAGGATAACAGCCAGGCGAATTCATGCCCTAATAGTACGTTTTCATTTAACTGGATTTCGTTAACCCAGTGGGTTTCAATTGTCAATTCCTTTGCATATATTTCAAATAAGTCCTCATAAAGTAGGTTAACCTGGTAAAAAGTTCTAATGTACAATGAGTTTAATGTACGTTTAGATTTAGTCCCAATTTAGATTAAGGTACGTTTAGTTTGTACCGGATTTGGTTAACCCAGTGGGTTTAAATTGTCAATTCCTTTAAATATGTGCTAAATAAATCCTCATAAAGTAGGTTAACCCGGTAAAAAGTTCTAATGTAAACGCCGTATTAGGCGAGTTTACTTGCGGCAAGTCTTTGTTTGTAGGAGGGAGGGGCAACGGGAATAGAAATGGCAATTTTCTGGCAATTCGTATTGTGTATTTCGTATTTTTTACATTTTAAATTTATTTATTTTATTGGAACAAATAAAAAAAGAAATATTGTTGAAACCGAATTGCCTTGTATAGACGCATGAAGCAAGTTCAAAAGAGAACAATAAGAATTGCCGGAAGTAAACTCGTCTAATCTAAATCAGGAGTTACGAAATCCACTCGATCTCAAATGTCAATTCCATAGCGTATGTCAGTAGTCACGCGAGCAAATTTTCATGACAAATTTTCTTCGCAATTTCTTTAATAATTTCATTTACGACTTTTCTAATTCTTCCCCACACTCATTTTCTCGTTTGACCATTGTTCATTAAAATTAAAAAATATCAACCAGAACAGGATAAAAACTCAAAATATCTTTCAGAAAAAGAGTAATGTGCACATATATTTTGGATTTCAAATTCCCCTTCCTGTTAACCATATGAATAAACCTTGCTATTGTGTTCCGTCATCCTTTTGGGGCAAATTAAAGTTGGCTGCAGAATATTTGTTCATTTCACTCGAATTGAAATATTTTTCTGGCAAGAGAAAATTGAAAAAAAAGAATGAAAATGTAGACAATTTATAATTCTATCGCTTCCAGTACTTTCCACCGAGTTATTGTCATATGTAGACAAACGCTAAAAACAGCGTTGGAAATAGTATTTTTTCTCGCAAACGTTCTAATTTGTAAACCAACGGACAGTGAACTTCTGTTGCTAATTCTTTTATTTAAAAATAGTAATTGTTGATGCGAAATTAACACTATTTAATATTAATTTCATTGTTTAAAAACCTGCTAAGAAAAAAAAGCCGATACTAAAGTTGTCCATATTCTGCAGATTTCAGAATATACATAAATGGCAAACATTTTACAAAATAGTGTTGTATTTTTCCGGGTTCCTATATATTGTAAAGCTCAAATTGTATAAGCGTATAAAATATTTCTAATTCTAATAAAACAAAGTAGGACAGCTTGAGTTGAATAACAAAAAAAGCAACTATGTTGTTGGTGGCTTCTTCTGTCAAAATATGAAATAAATGTACGCAACAAGTGGTTGTGTTTATTTGACATTTTTCAACACATAACTAAAAACGCGAAAATGAATGATTTCTTTCCAGAATACAGTAGGGAATACCACGAAATATTTGTATTAATAAATATAAAGTACTTAACAAATTTTGCCACTTCGTTGGAATTTAGGTAAAGTTTCAACAACGTTACCTAAATTCCAACGAAGCGTACAAAAATATTCGACTTCCCCACTATGGCAAAATGTTTTGCACGGCCATATTACCCAAATACGTCGAATCCACATATCTTAGCGAACTAAACAAAATCGACAAAAAAATTATAAAAAGTGTTCAAATATTTCACATTCTTATTTAAAAATTGATATTTTCTTCTTGTTTTGTTTCTCTTTTCAACAAAAGAAAAAATCAAATCCATGTTCTGTCATAATTAAATTTTTTCAATTTGAAAATTCATACGTCGACATATTTCGGTAACATTCATATAAATACATGTTTTCTATTTTTGTGGCGAATAACGTCGAACGGCCTAGTTGAATTTTATGAATTTTAGGTAGGGCTGCAAAGGAAGATATTTTGATTTAAATTTTGAAAACTGAATGTTTTCAAAAACAAATTTATGAAAAAATTGGAAACATATGACTGTATGAAACTACCTAGTATAATTATACCATGTGTATGAGTTAAGAATAAAAAGGGTTATTATCAATTCCCATGTCATACACCATGGTATAATAATAGAAGGCAAATGTTGTTGTACAACAAACGATACAACAACCACATGGAAATTTGTTGTTGTAAGTTTTACTAGTGTCTGAAAAATGTAAACAAACAAACAAATTATATTTATTTTGAAAACGAATTATTTTTGAATCCTCACAATAAAATTTGAAAAACATGAATAAAAATCTATCAAATTTATATTTTTATCGCTTCCACATCTTTCCTATAATTAAGCCATTACCACTTATATGTGTAACACGTATGAAAATCCAGGGAATTGAAAGTTATTCCATGAAGAAAGATTTGCTTCCTCAAACTTTCCCAGTAGGCAGATTGAGTAAATTGAATACGGGAGCACATTTAATAATTGTATGCGTTCCCAATTTTCCAGTTGGGTGATTTTTAAAAACATAACAAATTCATATTGACATATGAAACATAACAAATTCCCAATTTTCCAGTTGGGTGATTTTTAAAAACATTACAAATTCATATTGACACTAGTATTACTTTGGAATCAAATCAGCTGGGATTTGCTGCTACCTTTTATAATTGTACCATGGTCATACACAAGCAATAATAAAGTGTTATATCAAACAAAAACATCTGTTTTTTTATTTCCCATGGTTGGAAACATTGCACGTCAAATACAAGTTCAAAACACCGCACAATAAATTGGCATAGCATAGCTGCCAATCCGATTAATTGCCAAAGCTCATAGTTTGTAATTGAATTCGACGTGTAATACTGTCAACCATGACAGTATTACACGTCGATTTTCACAAATCTGTTGCTTTAATTTGTGCAAGTGAAATTTAATTTTTGCAATTTATATAATAAAATATATAAAAAACTAAATAAAATAATTTTTTTCTTTTTTTGTATTTTGATTCGCAAATTTGCAAACAAAAATTTTTTATTGGAAAAGCAAGCGAAAATTTCAAAAGAGAAAACAAAAAGTTTGCCAAATAAAAATCTGGAAAAGCACTTTTTGATAGATAATCGAAATAAAAACAGAAGTTTTTGTTTTGACACATCACCTTATTATTGGTATGTTCCCGTACTGCAAGAATTTACGAGTTTTTACTATTTTGTTCGATATCATTAAGGAAAAAAATTTTATGGTAGTAACAAATAGTAAATTCTTGCAGTACGGGAACAGACCATATTGTCGGATAGCTATTTATCACAGTGTGTACTAGGTGCAAATATTAATTTATAAAAGTATAAATATTAATTTATAATGATTTTTTTTTTGTTTCAAATAGCAACAACATTATTGACAACACTTTGCACCAACAGCTGTTCTGTTCTTATTTAATCTACCTTTGAAAAAAAAAACTCAATAAAAAATCGTTTAGTCGAAAGTTGGCTTACTTACAATACCCTCCATACTATGGTGGAGGGTATAACAATAGACTACATCTGAAATTATCTATAATTTTCCAAATTTTGACAATTTCCTTTGCTCCAAAGAGTTCTTTTGCTCCATATAGTTCCAACTCCTACATAGAGTTCGTTTACATTGAACCGGATTTGGTTAACCCAGTGGGTTTGAATTTTCAATTCCTTTGAATATATGCCAAATAAATCCTCATAAAGTAGGTTAACCCAGTAAAATGTTCTAATGTAAATGCCGTAATAGTTCCTTTGAGTCTCTCTCTTTCAACGTTCTTTTTGTTTTTTTTCGTTTTTTTTTTTCATATAGTTCCTTTGCTCCATATAGTTCCTTTGATCCATATAGTACCTTTGCTCCATATAGTTCCTTTACTCCATACAGTTCCTTTGCTTCGTATAGTTCCGACTCCTTCATAGTTCTTTTGAATCTCTCTTTTTTCGTTTTTTCCATATATAGTTCCTTTGCTCAATACAGTTCCTTTGCTCTTTATAGTTCCTTTACTGCATAGAGTTCCGACTCCTACATAGTTCTACTTTCCTACTTTGAATCTCTCTCTCTTTCATCGTTCTTTTTGTTTTTTTTTTCGCTCACATAGTTCCGTGTTGATTTGTTAATAAATGCAAAAATTGAAAATTGTGCAAAAATGAAAAAAAAAAAATGATAACGGAACGTGGTCAGAAAAAAGGAACTATATTAATTACAGAGAAATAGTTCCAATGAACTAGTTCATTCTGGAACTACCCAACTCTACAGTTTTGGGAGCCAGTTCGACTTCTAGATCCCTAATCATAATCTCCCTAAACCTCATTCGTAAACAATCCAAACTCCTTTTAGTCTCCATCCCACCTCATTCGTAAATTTCCGTCTTCTTTTTTGACTTATTCTTCACCGGGCATTTTGTATCCCATCCCATTCGTAACAGGTGGAACGTTTTTCAATATTTCTGCAGTTCTCAGTTTTGGACCCAGTTCATACAGTTCAGACGGGGATACGATTGAAATAAGGACTGAGTAATACAAAATAGAAATTGCTACCCAGACAAAACACGTTAGTTAACAAAGATAACAAGATTGCATCCTCTGTGATAATTGTATTTAAAACGAGTAAACATTTTCTTTCAGTCATATTTGGCCGAAGGATTTTTACACTCTTCTGAATTAAAATGGATAAAATTTTTGGTGCGAATCTTGAATTTGTGCGAGAAGATGATTACGTAGAATATTTCATATTTCCCAAGTTGGATTTGTCGGATGCCAGTGATGAAAATACACTCCGTCAGCAATTGGAGAACACTCGCACACGCTGCATGCATATTGTGGATAAATTGACAAAGGAACGCAACTATATATGGCACAAAGATGAATTTGAATTGCGTGTACGAACGTGTACCCCACAGGAATTATTGCTTAACGATGAGTCAACGACGACGGCGACGACAACAAAGGAAAAGGCAGCAAATCTCGGCCAAAAACAAAAAACAGATCAAGGTATGTTTTGCATGTGAACACACATATCTATGTTGGATACCTAGCACATACATACATGTGTATCAGGCGCACTATATATTTTGTTTATTTGTCTGTGACCACTTCTTAAAAATGGGGTCAATGTAAGGAGGGTGGGAATAGTGTGATGCTGCTCTGCTGTCATATATACACATATATGTGTCTATGGGTGTGCATTATTAAGGCGTCAACAAAAGTGAATAAGGCAAAAAACCCAACATCACATACATTATAGTTAAAGGCTCATTGTTTATTTTGCATTGAATGATGACTCTTGAATAAATTTGGAGTACATTGACATTTTTTTTTGAACAAAGCTTCTTTATACACACATGCATACATATATCCAAGGGACCTTTTAAAATAATTTATCGTAATTCTATGTTTTTATAATTGCTTTGCAACTTTAATAATTCTCCCGTATGCATACAATAATAAATAAATTTTTAAAATAAAATTAGAAATCCTAATTAAATTTTTTGTTTTTGCTTTGCGACTCGAATATTTTATATGCAAAAAATAAATATTGTGGAATTTTTAACATAAACACAAATCTGTGAAAATAGAAGAACACCTGTCATCCAAAGAATCGATCTTATTTTTTTAATAATTATTGTTTCTTTTTATTAATTGTTTTTTATTATTTCAGATTCCTTGCCACCACACTTGCACGGTGTTACCCATTATGGTGATAATATTGCCGATGAATGGTTTATTGTATACTTGTTAAGCAAAATCTCACAAGAATTACCAACGGTTGTGGTTCGTGTCATCGACTCTGATGGCGAATTTCTTTTAATTGAAGCGGCTGATTTTTTGCCCAAATGGGCCAATCCCGATACCTGTGAACAACGTGTCTATATATGTGAAGGCTTTATAAATTTGGTTAAAAGCTCTTCCACAAATACTAACAAATTAATGTCCGTCTCTGAAGCTGTTGACAAGATTCATAATAATCCAACACTCTATAAGGTTTCAAAAGAAATACAGGATTGTATTGACGGCAGAGTTAAAGAGTTCCAAAGTATCAACAATGATGCACTTCATCACCAGATTGTGCGATTACCATTGGGTGTTGCCATGCTCTTAAAGAAGAAACCGTCACTTATCTCAGCGGCGGTGAGATCATTCTGCGAACGTGACCCCATTGATATGAAAGCATGTCGTTCAATGCGTTATTTCCCACCCGAACAGAGAGTTCGAACTAATGTGTGCTTTACCAAATGCCTATATGCCATGATTATGCATAGCAGCTATGTTCCAGATCGTAATATTGGTTGGAATTTGAAGGGCAATCCAAATTCTGAAGAATACAAAGAGGATTTGCTGGGCATTAAGGTTGCATGTGGTTTTGAAATATTAGCGTCTCAGGCAAAGGATGCAAATAGTGAGGAGAAATCACCGGCATGGAAGGCATACGTTAGAAGTTTACAAGCCAAAGGATATTTTAGGGATAACATTGAAGGATCTGCTGAATATCAACGTTTGTTGGAGCAAGCCAAAGATTTTTTCCGAGATAATCAAAGTCGTTTCCGTACTGCACCATTGGTGGGTAAAGAAATCTTGGATTTACTTAGATCAACGGAAGTCAACGCTGATGAATTAAGAGATGAAGAAAATAATTTGAGGGTAAGTATCAAATATTATAAATATGTGTATATATGTGTTTAAGATTAAATGTAGTATCCATGATCACGAGTCGATTGAGTGATGTACCTCTGTAGAAATATTTGAAACACGCATAATAGTACAGGATATTGTCTTTGTGAATATTTTTGTAACAGACAAAAGGAAACGAGATAGACTCACAGTTCCTTTTGAGAATATGCATAAAATCTCTTCCTGAGTCGATTTATGTACCCTATACAAATTGATGAAATTCGGTTCAGATTTAGATATAGCTCCCATACATATTTTCGTCCGATTTAATGTAAATGGTGTACCGAAGTCCCTAAATTTTGTTTTTGATTTGCACGAAATTTGACACAGCGTATTGAATTGAGTCTAGAATTATAGATATACATATAGCTCCCATATATATTTTCGCCCGGTTTGTGTAAATGGTGCACCAAAGTCCCTATATTTATTTCGATTTGCACGAAATGTGGCACAGCGTTGAAATGTTTTTAGAATTATGTATGCTAAGTTTTGTGAAAATCGGCTCAGATTTAAATATTGTCGTCTGATTTTATGTAATTGGTGCACTAAAGCCTCTATACTTCTTTCGCGTTGTCTCATTGTATTATTTTATTCCACAGTGTTTTTTCTATCACGATTTTTTTAGTTATTATTTTTTTATTTATTTTCCAGCCAAGTGATAGTGATGATTGGCTTAACATCAGTGCCGAACAATTGGATGCTATGCTGCTCGACCGTTATGGGCCCAAAAAACTTTACAAATCAAATGGTGACATAAATGCTGAAGAATTTACCAAAAATATTTCTGAATTTCTTGAAAAAGAGTCAGCTTTGGAAGGTGTTGAACGTGATTCCGATGACTACAGCACCGGTGAAGAGGAAAAACATGCCGAGGAGAAGGAACGCAAAAAAATGAATGCATCCACTTCGAAAACTAAAGTCAAAAAGAACCATTCAATGCGACAAGCTACACGCAAAAACCCAGTCAATTTAAACAAATCAAATAATTCAGAACACGAAGACAGTTTCACCACACAGGTGAAGAGCTTTTTAGATTTTGTCATACCCGAAGATAAATGGGACTCAAATTCCGAAATGAGCGACTACGAAGATGAAGAGGATATGGAACGTAACTTTGCTGCCATGCATGAAGTTGACAAACAAATTGATGCCGACATAAAGGCCTATATGGATCAAATGGATCGCGAATTGGCCAATACAACAATTGGCAAATCATTTGATAAAACAAAAACACACAACAAAGCCAAGTTGGCAACCGCCGAAGAATTTGATGATATCGAAGATTTCGAACCAATTAATATTAATGTGAATACATTGAAAAATATGATGGACAGTTACAAGTCACAAGTTGGCGGTAGTGGACCAGTTTCTAATTTACTGAATGCAATGGGAGTTGGAATGTCTGCCGCCGCTGCTACTGCAGATGATACAGATGACTTGAAAGAATCATCTGTATAAACTTACATATCTTCTTCTTCAATTTGTATAAAGTATTTTGCTAAGCATTTCTTCGTGTTTAAATGAAAGAAAAATATGTTAAAAAAAAGAAAGCATCAAAAATTTATATACTTTTTTGCTTTTACTATAAAAAATAACCGTCGCAGTTTCTAATACAGGGTACTTATGATTTAAATATCTCTTCTTCAAGAGAATTAACAAAAAAAAAAAAATAGTCTCTCTATCTACACTCATCTTTATAAGAAGAAATTTAATAAATCGACAGTCTTTTTTCGAAAAAAAAAAAATATATAATTTATATCAAATATGTTTATTAATTCGTCTTCCAAAGGTCTCGAAAAATATATTTCTTTTATTAAAAAATTACGAGGGTAAAAGTGCAAGTACAGTGTTTTCATTGTAAAGTTTAAAATTTTTTAGCATAACATTACTCAGTACGGTTTGTCGAAAGACCAATTGTTGTGTTGATTTGAAAAATTATTTTGCCAAGAAACGGAATTCATAATCACTATCGAGTGATAATTTTCACAACTTTCGATATGGATTATAAAGTGTAGCTCTATTAAACCTTTGACGTATCAATTAGCGCAACGAAGTTCGCTTCCAACTGTTAGCACACAACTTGCACTAAGTAAACCGGTTTTGATGGTTAAGAACAGCCGCAAAACGAAACGAAATGTGAATGCATGTAATAAAACTATTTATTTTAGATTAGATGTTGTGCACGGCATCTACTAGTTTTATTCGTATTATTATGAGAATCGAATCATAATCATGTTAGGCACAGAAATTGTACCACGCGTCAGATTCGTGGAAATACGTCAAAGGGTTAAAAACAGGTTTAATGGATTTTTTCACCACTCTGTGGTACAGGGTATTATGTCTTTGGGCATATGTTTGTAACAGGTAAAAGGAAACGGTGCAAAAAGGAGCCATGTTTTCAGATTTCGATACAGTTCCCATATATAGTTTCGTCCCATTTTATGCAAATAGTGCACCGAAGAGTCTATGTGGCTGACTTCCAAAATGTCAGTTGCTTTGCATTCGAACAAAGCATCCTGTTTCATAATGCAACAGTGCCAAATATTTACATTGCATACCATTTCAAATTGTCGCTGATACGTATTTAAAAATCAAACAGGCATCGATTTTATAGTTGATGCATTGTTTGTTTACAAGCACAAAATTAAATATCTAAATGAAATAAAGTTAATGACAGATTCACAAAAGTAATTTAATAAAAATATTAATATTAATTAAATACCGTAGTATTATTGTATACAAACAATGCATTGATACATTTTGGAAGTCAGCTTGTTTGTTCGATTTACACGAAATTCGGCAGGGGGTATTGAATTAAGTTAAAAGTGATGGGTATTAAGTTTTGTAAAAATTAGCTGCGATATATTACTTGTTCGATTTTATGTAAATAATGCAACGAAGAGACTATATTTTCATATTTATGAAATTTGGCAGCGGGAATGTAATTTCTTCTAGAATGTTTTGTGTTAAATTTGAAATCGATTCATATTTAAATATAGCTTCCATAAATGAGACATCGTCGATCGATTTCTCAGATCGAGATAAAAAATGTGCAGTGTAGAAATGGCGTTTCATTGCTTATAGTTATTGACAAAAAATATTGTTTATATAAAAAAACTGTTTTTTTAATTAGAATTAAATATTCTATAAAATAACAAAAAAATATTAACAAGTTAGTGTTGAAATCATTTGTTTATACGTTTGTTTATTTTTGTAAATCTTCATCTAAAGTTATTGCTTAATTAACAAAATAATAAAACAAACATACACATATTTGTACATTGCATACCTCTTGGCGTTTGTTACAACAATGTGCGTGATAAACTCGTAGTTATACGCGGCCAACGTCTGTCACCTCAGCCCATTGTGTAAAAGCAATAGGGCTGTTACAACAACAACCAAATGTTGTCTGTTTACCAAAAAATACAGTAAAAGAGAGTCAAGTGAGAGAGCAAGTATGACAGTTCAATAACAACAAACTTACTGGACTCCAGTAACTGGAGTTTACTGAAAGAATTTTATGCAAACTCAGCTTTTGGATCAGCTTTTTTATGACCAAACACAAACAGTTTTTTCATTTGCAAAGTTCAATTTGAAATTAATTTGTATAAAAATTACAGAAAATGGAAGAAAAGTCTTAAGTAATTCAAAGTTTCATTAAATTAGAAACTAATTCTTTATATTTTTAGGCAAGTTCTATATTGAACCGAAAGAGTGTAAAAGCGGCTTTCTCTCTGTACTACAGTAGTTTTCGCTTATGGCCCACAACTATAGTTGCACAATTTTTTTGGACTATAAGCGAACTAGGACGATCAGGCATGTCACAGAAATGAATTCCATTCGGAAGTGGAATTAATTTTAGTTTTCAATTGTTATTTATCAATAAATGATGCCACCAACATCAAATGGCTTAAAACAATGTAGATATACAAGGTAGCCGCATAGAAGAATTTCTACAACAAACATCGGTTGTTGTATTTTGATATGCCAAAAATATTTTGCCAAAACAAACAGATTCACAAGATGTTTTTTATACAAATTTTTGTAGAAAATGTTAATAAAAGTATTGCCCAACAAGTTCTTCGAAATTCGGAGATTTTCATTTATAATTTTGTTTTTTAATTTTTTGTTTTAACATTACAATAACATTTTTTTTGCACCAACAGCTGGGCCGATGCGCCTACTTTATTAAATATACCTTGGCTCCATGTACTCTTAAAACAGTACTTTTTCAATACCCCGTTGATTAATTTGAGCCCCAATCACAGAAACAATAGACACTCACGGAATTTTTATAAACAAATATTGTGTTCTTCACTGGGATTTTAAGAAACTTTACTTTAAAATGCAACATTTTTTCCCGATTCTCTTTTACGTTGTTTTTAATCATATGGTTTTGTTTTGATTATAGCAATGTTGCCATATTTCAACTAAGCAAAGCGATTCGATTCAGTTTTCGGAATTCATAAAATCGATCGGAATCTAAAGAAGCTAAAACAAAAAATCGATCGAAATGCAATTGCGGAATTCAAACCATTCCTATCGGAATCTGTGACATGCTTGTATATCCGAATTTCGTTTTAAGCCATTTAATGGACTATAACTGAATCCTGATATAATACACGTCATGGACTATACAACGTATGTACATTTTTAAATAAAATTAAACTTTATTAAAAAGAAATTCATATATTTATTTAAATTAAATCAATAGTTTAAACAATAGCATATTGTTTGTTTTAATTCAAATGCTTTGAAAGCATATTGTAATGAAAAAATTAAATATGAGATTCATTTTAAGCTTTTGGAGGATTAAATTAAATGTGAATTGTTCACAATTTTTAAAAGTATTATGTAATCTTAGAACGCTTCTTTTTTATGGAATTTACAACAAACGATTCTATCTTTTCAAAAAATGAGTTTTGTTCAATTTCGTTAACTGTACAAAATGTTTTTATGATTTCAAAGTAATCTACAACTTCTTTTAAAATAACTTTGGGTTGTTTGCAATGAATACCTTCGACAGTGGATTCCCCATCATGAATATTATTATGATATTCTTCAACCGATTTGTCCGAAACCACATCGTTCAAAATATCTGCAACATTTAATAGCAAATCAGTTCGTTATCAAAATGCTGATATTCTGAGGAAATTGGCTTGCCACCACCACATTCTTGCCACGCATTTCATTAAATCATATATTTTAGATTACCCGAATTTAAAGCTTTTTTAACTATAGAATTAATTTTTATTATTATACAAACTGTTGATTTATCTATTTTGTATTTTGTGCTCAATTGTCTACATTTCAATCCATTTTCTTCATAGTTTTTTACAAATTCCAATTTTTGCACCATACTACCATTTCGCAACTCCTATGAATTTGGCAATTATTGACATTTGCAGATGTTGCAAGAAATCTAAAATGGCATATACAATAGATGCAAAGGAATTGACAATTGAAACCCACTGGGTTAACGAAATCCGGTTATATGTAAACATACTATAAATGTCATGCCAGTTTAAAATATATAAAAAAACAGGGTGGACTATATGAAAAGAAAGAGCTTTCTATGCATCCCGAATAAATTTTTCTTTGAGCCACAAGTATTTTGGAATTCCAAAATTTGGGCTTTGTAAACATTTAAGTTTCTTTAGTTTTGCTCCACTGTGCCAAATTTCGGGAGCGTTGTGCCTGGCAGCCTGGCTGGACTTGGCGGGATTGTCTAGCTTTTTTGATGCTTGTTCATATTTAAACGTGTAGGACACTAGAATAACTTAGTTAATGTTAGTCATCACCGAATACTAATTTTGGATACTTTCCACCATAAAATGGAGTCATTCCGCTTGCAAGACCTCTTAAATTAACTTAATTAATGTTAGCCATCAATGAATACTCATCTTTTATACTTTCCACCATTAAATCGAGCTATTCCGCTTGCAAGACCTAGAAATGTTCCCGGAGACCCCATATTCTTGATCATATTAAAATGCTACGTCGATTTAGCTATGTCCGACAGAGATGATGTTTGGTATTGAATATAGGTTCTATTGGAGTGCGAGCTCTCGTTATTGTGCAATATGTGGCTGTGTCTGTTCTGGACCAAAAGTTTGGGGCCCAGAGCCCTACAAAAGTATCCACTTGGTGGTTCGCCAGTTAATGGGTTTAAACGCATTTTTTGGGTAAATACAGAAATAGGGTATACGATGTTGTGTTACCGATTTAATATAGTAAATACCCAAAAAATACCCGGAAATGGGTATTTACCCACCCCTTGGGTATTTACCCGGTAAATCTCTTTATAATGCACCAAGTTTTTATGAAAAAAAAAAATTGGAAGTCGATCTTGAAAAGTCGACTTTCTATTCCACATAAAGCAATTTAATTTTTACCCCTCGGTGGACAATGCCATACATTCCCCACTAATAAATAGTTGTTATTTTATAAAAGCAACA